CTCCACCCACACCAGTGCCTCGAGGGCGTCCTTCTGGCCGTGACAGCTCTGCTGCTGCTCCTGGCAGCTGGCGAGGGGCCAGGCGCCCACGCACGTCCCTCCTGTCCCCCTTCTCCTGGCACTGCCCCATCTCTACTCTGAGTCACCCACAGCCGGGGAGCAGGTGGGGGCCGGGGGGATGGGTGTCAGGGCTTTGCGGGCCACATCCCTGAGGGGCTGTGAGGAGCCCACGGTCTGGGGTCGCGTCCTGGCCTTGGGGACCAAGTGCCTCTGTGCACCTGCTTCCTTGTCTGGGACTTCCAGTCACACTGAGTGCGGCAGGAGCCACAGGCGTCCTCTCCCACTTGTGGGTACAGTCTCCCACCTCCCTCAGCTTCCTGACTTGGCCTGGGGGGCCCCACCTGAGGTGGCCCTGCCTGAGGGAAACTCTGCCTGGGGGAAACCCTGCCTTGGAGGTCCTCCCTGGTGGGGCCCTGCCTGGGGGAGACCCCACCTGGGGGGCCGTGCCTGGCGGGGCCCTGTCTGGGGGAGACCCTGCCTGGGGGCACTTGCTATGTGGAGCTGGCCATTTCTTGGGGCGTTATTGGAATGAGGGTGAGGCCTGCTGTGTAGTGGAGCAGATGGCTCCCATGTGTGGCCTCGCATGGCAGGCACCTGTTGCTTCCTGCCCCTTGGGAGTCCCTGCCCATCGCCCTCCTGGCTTGGCAGTGACAGCCCGGAGCAGCCTCTGCCTCCTCCTGCTCACAGGAGGCTCCTGAGGTCCGGCAGCTGCTGCCCCATGGAGGGTATGCAGGGCTCTGCTGCCCCCTTTCCCGGCCCCCAGCCTCCGAGCCTGGTCGCACTCACCTTGGGAACACTGAGGGCGCAGGGCGGGCCTGGCACAGGTGTGGTGATGGAAACCCAGGAGGGTTTCCTGGCGGTGCAGGCCATGGGCTGCCCGTGGCAACCTCACGCGTGCATGCGGCTGGGTCTCAGGCAGGCAGCAGCGGGGTCACAGCTGTGGTCTTGTTTTGCTGCGTTGGACACACTCTGTCGTGGGATGTAAGTGAATGCTTGTCTTATCTGTAACCCTGTCTCTCTGGTTGGAGAACAAAGATCTGGTCGTCGTGGGCACAGGTGTGCAAACGCGTCTCGAGTGTGCGAGAGGCATCTCCAGCGGGCACGGGCTTGTGTAGGGTGTCTGAGCTTTGAAGAGACGGTTGAACTCGGGAGTCCCCAAGCACTGTGACAATCGCGTCTGTCCCCCGCGAGGGCATGTTCCTCCAAAACCTCTCTCTGGTGTGGGAGGCCCCCTTGAGGCTCCTGCAGGGCCGCATGAGGCCCTCCGCCTCTTCTGTCCCGGGGCTCACGGCACGGCTGCACCTGCTCCGTGTGGCCCGGATCTGCGTGCAGGCCCAGGGACCCTGGACACAGTCTGTGCTGGCCTCCCGCAGGTCTTCAGGAGGGAAGGGGGCAGAGGGACCTCCCTTCTATGAGCAAGTTTGCCCTCATTCCCTGGGAACCCCACTCCTGTCCCCATCCTGTCCCCTGTCACCCTCAGGCTCGTCCATGGAAGGCCGCAAGGGTGCCGTCCCTGGGGCCAGTGCATGTGGAGGGTGATGCAGGCTGGGCCTGACATGGGAGACTGGGGAGAGGAGGCCGCCCTATGGGGCCGGGACATGTGGGGTGTCAGGTCAGATTCTTGGGGCTCTCTCGACCTTAGCACAGGCGCTGTGTGCGTCCTGTGACGTGTGCCAGCGTTCCGTACCAAGACGCTAACCTGGGGCAGCAGCAGGTGCTGGGCCACAGGGCAACTCTGGGTGCCCCAGACACATGGGACAGCTGGCCACAGCTGTGGAAGGGCTCTTTTGAGCATCGTGGCCAGTGTCAACTGGCGTGGCTGCTCAGACCTCGTAGCCCTCCAGCACTGGCAGGTGCCTGGTAAGGCCCCTGGGCGGGGTGGGCAGCGTTTCAGCTGCATTCTGCCCCAGGCCTGCTCAGTGATCACTGCCATGGTGTCTGAGGTCCCGCGGCCAGAGCCCCAGGAGGCGGCAGAGGGTGCAGCCGTGAGCAGGTGTGGCGAGGTCCCGGGGCCGGTCAGGGGCGCTGCTGCCCGTTGGGGAATGGAATGGGCTGGGATCACCTTTCTTGGTCCAGGTGAGCGTTTAGGGCTGGGACGTGCTCCTCGTGGACCAGACTTGGTTATATTTGACTCACTTCTCCATGACTGCAATGGGGTTCTTGATGCAGAAGTTAAGTAATAACTTGGGCACCGCTGCAGGAAGGGATCAAAGGCTGAGGGCAGAGTGGAGCACTGACTCCGTGAGGGGGACAGCCTCCCGTCCCCGTCCCGGCTCAGGGGTGTCGGCTGAGATGAGCACTTTCCAGGCAGATGTCGCCATGGCAGGTTTTTGGGGCATGCCCTCATTAATCAGTGGCTTTGTGCTCGTTGGAGATGGGATCAGACCCTTTTTTAAAAAACAATATTTTGCCTCATCATAAAAGGAACATGAGATTGTTTGCAAGTTGGGGGAAAATGTAAAGAAAAAAGTAATTTATTGTTTAATGATCCCATGCTTCTGCTTGTTGGAAACGCGGTCACAGTCTGGGGGTGGGGTGCACGCTCTCACGTGCCTGTTGTGACTTTGTGTCAGAGCCTCTCCCTGCCCCATGCGGCCGGCCTGACAGCGAGGGGGACAGCCCGCCCGGAAGGTCAGTGACCTGCTGGGACCACGGGTGGCTGCGGGCATGCAGCCTATCGGCTAGGCTCCCCTTCCCTCCCCTTGCGCACTTGGGAGTCAGCCAGTCCTAGGGATGGGGCTGCGCCCTCAGGGACAGCTTTCAGGAGGAAAAGACAGTCTCTGCAGTTGCGTATTTCTGAAAAGGGGATTCCCACGTGCAATTTCGTCCTGTCTCTGTCTATGAAAACGACCCCGGCTCCCTCCACCCGACCCCCCTGAGAGCTCTCCCTGCCTCCGCCCCGGTCCACACGCGGGCGGGCTTCCTGGTGTCATCCGCACACGGGGAGGCGGCTCCGACGGTCCTGGGACGGTTGGCAAAATCGGATCGCGGACGGTTGGTTCCAGTTCTGTGGCGGTGGATGTTCTGCACTGAGGTCATGCCCGAGAGCGCCCTCGCTCTCGGGACACGTTCCCGGGCTGCCGCCTGGTAGGAGGATGGGGACCTCGGGGCTTCTCTCAGACGCTCAGAAAAAGTGTGTGCGCACGGAAGGACAGATGATGCCGAAGTGTTTTTTCTGAGGACGTGGCAGTGTCTGTGCAACTTTCTGTAGGTCTGAAAACCGTTCAGAGTAGTCACTTAAGAGAAAGCCCCAGGAACAAAAAAGTGAGGCTGTGCTCGCCCCCACTGCACCTGCAGGGCTGGTCCTGGCCGTGGCGACAGCCCCTACCCACGAAGATGGGGGATGAGATGTGGCCCCTCAGCCACGTCTTGCGTCGTCTGTCCCGAGTTTCATCCGATGGCAGACGGGGATCCATGCTGTGTGTGTCCTGTCGCGATTGTGTTGGACTCGTCCTTCCGGACGGTGACGCTCGGACCCACCCCCAGCGCCCGCTGTCACAAGCACTGCTGGGTCCTTCTGCTGGGCTCAGCTCCTGCCGCAGAGGGGACGGGGTGGCACCTGGGCGTGCTGTGCCGGGGGTGCAGGGGAGGGAACACGGGGTGGAGTGAGGCTCGGGCCCTCTGGCCAGCGCCCACCTACTGTTCTGCCAGAGCCCTCCCAGTGCCAGGGCGCCTGGCCACACAGGGCTGGGGGGTTAGCGTTTCCGGGGACTTTGGTGCTGGGAGGAGGGAGGGCCGGCTGGACCGGAGGTGTCCCAGAGAGAGTCCTGTCTGCAGGCGTGACATTCCCGCTCAGGAGAAGCACAGGTGTGTTCACAAGTATGTCCGAGCCCAGCACTGGCATGTGGCCCAGGGAGAGCCCACCACAGATGCGGCAGCAGGCTCCCTTCCTGCAGAAGGGCCTTCTGGTGCCCGGGTCTGTTGCCCCCAAGCTCAGGCAGGGCTGGGGGCCAGCAGGTGTGGGGAGGGTGCGGAGTCGCCTGCTCATTTGTCATACCCGGCAAAGGCCGCCGCATCCACCAGGATGGGCGCATGCGCAGCGCCATGCGCCCCACACCCTTGCTCTGAGGGGCTCAGGACCCCTGGTGCCCCCCCCAGCGCATCCCACCCTGCAGCAGCCACTGTCCTGAGTGGGGAACCCCCTGCCTCTCTTGACGGTCTGGCCACAGTGTGTGCCCAGCCACCTGTGTGTGCTGACCTCTGAATGAAAGCGCATTTTGGGGCTCCCTCTGTGAGCTGCTTGTGCCCCAGCCTGTGTTGGGGGCTGCGGTGCTGCTGTCACTGGAGGCCGCGTGCTGTTGTGCGGCCATAACCACCACCATTGTGCCTTCTCTAGTCAACGGAAATGAAGGTTTTTCTAGTATTTTGCTCTTAAGGTCTCCATTAAATTTTAAAATCCTCCTGCTACCCTGATTGTCTGGCATAGACGTTTCTGGTGAGTGGCTCAGTCCTCAGAGAGCCGGCCTCTGGAACAAGAGCGCTGGCTTCGAGGGGCGGCGGGGAGCTGGGAGGGCTCCCGAGACCCTGCTGGCCGCCGGCCCTGCCCGGCGACAGCCACGTTCTGCCAGCCCCACGGCCACTGGTGGACACGCTAGGCTTCAGCAGGAGGCTCCAGGGAGTCTGGAATCGAGACACGGTGAAGCATAGATTGGCGCCGTCAGCTCTGCCATGACATGTGCAGCATTTTCTCTTCCTGGACCGCCTGGGGCTCCCCACCTCTGCCTCTGTGGGCCTCTCGAGGCGAACCCCTGGCAGCCTCTTCCCGCCCTGGTGCCGCCAGCCAGGGTCTCTGGGCAGGTGGCTGGTGCGTGCGGAGGAAGGCAGTGGGCGCCTCCTCGGGCTGGGGCGTGTCTGGCAACCTGGTCTTGGCGGTGCTGGGCACGGGGGGTCACTGGCTGCTGGGGCACGGGGGGTCACACTGTGTTGCTCTCTGTCCGCAGATCACCAGAAGCTGGAGAGAGAGGCTCGGATCTGCCGTCTTCTGAAGCATTCCAACATTGGTGAGCTCGGGCGTGGGGGCGGGGGTGCCATCTCTCTGCACCCTGGCCAGCGGCCTTTCTGTCCCGGAGATTACACTGCAGAGGGACACCCAGAGGCCTCCTTTGCCTTCTCCATGGAAGTGTCCCATCCTCGGGCACCTGGCAGTGCCTCTCTCTACTGACCTGGAGGGGCCCTGGGGGTTCTGGGCAGCCTCTTGTGCAGCTCTGCCTGGATGGGTCCCAGCCCATCACTCTAACTCCCAGCTGGGATCCTGGCAGAAACATCATGTGGTTTTAGAAAAGCCACAAGACAGTCCAGTTAAGAAGAAAAACGTTTGGGAACCAAAAACCTCAAAGGCCACGCCAAGCGTCATCCTGGCCTGAGGTCTGAGGGCTCGTTCTGGAGAGCCACCGGTCCCCTGCTGGTCGTTGCCACTGTGCCCTGGGGGTGTAGAGCCTGGGGAGCCTGGAGCCATGGCCTCAAGGACGGTGGCCCTTTTTCTGAAAGCCCAGATCACCTCCTTGTGCACCCACAGGACCCTGGAAGTCAGCTTGGGCCTCCTGGGCCGCTTAACCAGCACTCCCCCCTCTGGAGTGGTCCCTTGGGGTGGTCCCTGCCTACTGCCCCAGGGAGCAGGTGTGTGTGTCGTCTGCCTGCCCGGCCCCACCTCTGGCCATGGAGGGACTTCCAGGAGCCCCCTGTGGGAAGCAGCTAAGAAGCACAGAGGGGCCAGTGGGTTTGCTGCCCTGGGGGCACCTAGGGAGCTGGTCAGGTGGGCTCGGGGCCCCTCTTGCCACTATTCCAGATCCGTTGGGCCAGGACAGGGCCCAGGACTCTATTTAAGAGAAACGGCAGGTGAGGTGGCTCGGTCACTTCTGGAGCCCCTGGCCTGAGGGGAGGTACATGCCACTCGCAGCTCCCAGGCCGGGGCCTCAGCCGTGGGGAGCCCAGGAGGCTGTAGGAAGCCTCGGCCGCTCCTCAGAGCCAGTCCTGGGAGCTCTGCCCTGAGGCTGTGCCCTGCAGGACTTGTGGGAGCGGCGGTGAAGGCAGACCCCCCACTTCCAGACAGCCCCCCACCGTACCCGCAGGCAGCTCCAGCCCTGGGCCCGGGCCGGGCACTTGCACTTGCAGATTCTCAAGCTGTGTGTGTTGGGCCCGCTGGCGTGCAGGCTCCTGACTCAGAGGCCTGTGGGCCCAGGAACCGGAACCTTCCCCAGCGAGCCTGGTGATTCTGATGCCGATGTCCACAGGACCCCAGTCACTCTTCACTGGCGGGGTGGGGGGAGCATGTGGGCCCGCGGTGGGCTTCTGTCAGACCCTCCACTGCCCCTGCTGTTGCGCTCTGTGCGTCGGAGCCCAGCAGCAGGCACCAGCTCACCCCCAGCGCCGCCCCTTGCCAGTCGCCTCCCCTGCATCGTCTGAGCACCAGCCAAGAGTGGGTCAGGAATTCCCTTCTAATAGGGGAGGACCCCAGTGTTCTCTGGGTGGGTGTTTGAGATAGTCTTCAAAAGACCACTCCTTGCCCTGCCTGGAGGCCCATGTTGTTCCGGGTCAGCCATGATCAGTCCTTGAGTCTTCATAGCAGCTTTATTCCAGAGCACGGGGGGCAGAGCCAAGACTGGGGGGAGGGGGCTGCAGAGAGAACATTCCAGAGCACAGGGGAGGCAGAGCCGAGGCGAGGGGGATGCAGAGGGAACATTCCAGAGCGTGGGGCAGGCAGAGTTGATGGGGGTGCAGAGGGAACATTCTAGAACATGGGGAGGCAGAGCTGAGACCGAGGTGCAGAAGGAATATTCTTTGAGAATACTCTGGGGAGTAGTGGGAGAGGTCTAGGGGGAGGTGAAGGGGTCCCCTTGCTCCCAGGCCTGGGTCTTCCCAGCCCCACTGTAGACAGAAGTGTCCCAGTGCCCCTGGCACAGGCAGTGGGACGTTGTTCGTCCCACTGGTGCAGGGCAGGGGCTCTGGGAGGGGCTGTTCCTCAGAGCAACTGTGTTCAGAGTGTGGGGCGGGAAGGAGCCTCCGTTTCCCCAACTGTGAAGTGGAGATGGGCCCTCCAGGGAGTCCCTGGGAGGCCCTGAGAGAGGAGTCAGGTGGACGTCAGGCGCAGTGAGTCCCGGCCTGCAGAGGGGACTCAGGGAGGCTCGGGGTCGGTCACCGCGGGGGCCCAGCCTTCCTGCGGACGGGCTGTTGCGGCTCCGAGCCCTTGCAGGGTCTGTGTGTGGTGAGCGGGGCTGCCCAGGCCACAGCTTCTGTGGCTCTTAACCCACGTGAGTCAGTCACGTGTGCTGCATAACAGGCAGCAAAGCTCAGCCCACAGGCGCTGATTGTCTGTGGGTTCGAGAGCTGTGGGGCTGGGGGCTCAGGCCTGGTACCCAGCCTGCGGGATCTGTGCAGAATGGCCGTGCGGGGCTCGAGAAAGCAGGACGGGCCTGGGCCTGGGCCCGGGCGGCTCCTCCGGGGCTCCCGTGCGGTGTGGACCCCAGCCCGAGCTGCGTCTGTGAAGGTTTGCCTGCGTGTCTGGGGTTTGCTCGCAGGCCGTGGCTCACGTGGTTGCCGGGGTCTCATCAGGACCACGTGCGTGTCTTTAGCACGTGGCAGGAGGTCCCCAGAGTGCGTAATGACAGGGACTCAGAGGGAGCCGGACGGGTAAGGGAGGGAGATCGAGAACTCGGACGCCTTAGAGCGTGGGGTTCGGTGGCAGCGTGTGTTCACAGCATTGCGTGGTCACTGCCACTCTCCGTGTCCACACTTCTCGTCGTCCCGGGGAGGGTCTGCGCCCGGGAAACACGACCTCCCATCAGGTCGCCCAGGCCCGGGGAGCCGCCATGTGCTGCGTCTGCGGGTTGGCCCCACGAGGACCCTCACGGCGGTGGGATCACACGTCGGTCCCTTTGTCACTCTTGTTCCACTCAGCGTCGTGCCCTCAGCGCCCGTCCCTGTTGAAGCGAGTTACGGGATTTCCTTGCTTTTCCAGGCTCCGTCACGTCGGCCTCCGCTCACCCGACAGCGGACCCGCGGCTTCTTGCCGCCTGTCGGCCTCACACACAGGGCTGCCGTGCACGAGGCCGCGCGTGGAGGGTGGGCACCCGTGTGGCTCCCGCGCTCCCACCTTTGGGGACACGCGCAGCAGTGTTAAACGGCTGGCTGCCAGCAGGTCGGCGGGGGTCGCTCTGCAGGCCCGCTGTGCTCCTCGAGCCAGGCCGGGGGGGCCACGCCGCCGCCCTGCCGCATGTGAGGGAGGGAGCGACGCTGTCCGCGCAGCAGGGGCCCGTCCCTGCCGCGGACACGTGAGGCCTCTGCTGACCTGTCACTCTGGAGCGGGCTCCACGGGGCCGGCCGCCCGTCACCAGCCATCCGGGCAGAGCGCTCCCCAGCGGGTGCAGGTTCTCCTCAGAGACAAGGGGGCTGCTGCACAGAGGACGCAGCTGTGTGGCCTGGCTTCAGCAGTGCCTTTTGTAGGGACGGGAGTAGGCCTGGGTGTCTGGGATGCCTGACCCAGTGTTCCCCCCAGCCTCCTCCATTCCCCCAGCCTTCCCCACTCTCCCCCCAACCGCCCCCAGTCTCCCTCACTCTCCAGCCTCCCTCCAGCCTCCTTCTAGCCTCTCTCCATCTCCCCCAACCTCCCCAGCCTCCCCGAACCTCCCTCCAGCCTCCCACAGTCTCATCCCAGCGTCTCCCCAGTCTCCTTCCAGCCTCCCCACAACCTGCACTTAGCCTGCCTCTGCAGTGACCTTTTCTCTTCAGGACCTGGCTCAGTGATGGCAAGTCTCTACCTTCTGGTTTCTGGGGTGGGAACTGAGCTCCTTTGCTGGGTGGTTCACCCCTGAGCTGGGCAGGTGGGCACCATGGAGGACATGTCATGGGGGAGCTTCCTGCCTGGACAGTGGAGAAGGGTCTCCGGTCTCCCGCTGCTCAGCCCCGCAGCTGGTGAAGTTATGCATCTGGGCCAGGCTCTCCTGCCGCAGGCAGCAAGGGCATCCCCGGGGCAGTCCAGAGGCTGCCTGGGAGTGTGGAGGGACCCCCCCTGAGAACGCCTCGGCCCAGGACTCAGGGACAGGCCCTGGAGGAGCTGTGGCCCTGGCGAGGGGAGCGTCCTGGGTGCACCCCTGTGCCCTCTGTGTAGAGGCCCCACAGGGCTTTTGGGCTGCGCTCTTGGGAGTGCGCGGGACTGCGTCGAGGCCGCACGCCCTACCCAGTGTCACGAGCGTCCTGCTTTACTTGGGCGGATTTTGCGACAAGTCACTTGGCAGCCTCAGCTCTGTCAGGAATCAGTCTGATATGCTAGATAGCTTTCCTTCTAAACTGTTAAAATAATGTGCGACTGCTTGTTAAATGTTAAAAATGTTTTTTTTTTTTTTTAAAAAAGGGTTCAAGTGCACACAGCCTCCACGTCGCCCAGGCGCCCCTTGTCTCCTAGGCGAGGAGGTGGGACCCGCCAGCAGGCCTAGGAGCCCAACCCCCTCCCACCAGCACTGGGGCCCGGGGCCTCCCGCAACCGTCCTGGACTGCTGGGGATCCCCCAGGGAAGGCGAGGAAGGCCCCCAGGAATGTCCCTCTGGGGTCCCTGGGCCTTCCTTGCTCTGTGCGCCAGGGCAGGCGGCTGGGCCGAGGAGGCCACACCTAGAGGGGGTGAACGTCTGTTCCCTGCACCGATTTCCCAGACAGTCCTGGAAGGAGGGTGCTGTGGGCAGGGCTCTGCTGGGTGCTGGGGAGAATTAGGCCAGCCTGAGGGCATCAGGGGTAGGAGGGAGGTCAGCATTGGCTTTGCGCACCCAGAGGTCTCTGTGACATCCCTGGGAGAGGGGACGGAGCCCAGGTAGCTGGCGGAGGCTGGGGACCCGGGAAGACCTCGCCTCACAATCATGGGGCCAGAAGGAGGGGTGAAGCCGAACGGGACAAGGCTGGACGCCAGGCCCTTGAGCAGAGCCACAGAGCCAGAAACGGGAGGGCAGCTGCCAGAGGAGCTGGCCCCGGGGTTGGCATGGGTGCCCCTCCACGGTGACCAGACACCCTGACTGCTTGGGCAGGAGCCCGGTCTCGGTGCCTGATTTCGGCCTGGGTCAGCGACTGCTGCTGCGGGACTGTGCTTCCAGGCACAAAGACGCTGCCGGCCGGGCCCCTGGGAAGGTTACAGCGGGAGGAAGGAGGAGGCCTGCAGGGCAGGCCACGAGGGCAGCGTGGAGGGTGCGAGCAAGGGGCTGCAGCCAACCCTCCTGGCGCTGGCGGCCTGCCCTGCGGGGAGAGGCCCAAGGAGCCACAGCCCCGGGGGTTCCGAACCCCACTCTGCACACTGCTTGGCCTCCGGGGAACCGCGTCTCTCCGCTGTGTGCACGGCCCCTCGCGTGCTGGTGAGCAGGCGGGTGCTCGGGGCGGCATCTGCCGGAGGCAGGGTCTGGCACAGGGGGCGGTTGCCGGAGGCAGGGTCTGGCACAGGGGGCGGCATGCAGAGTGATCCGTTCCTAGAGAAGTGTGCTGTTCGGCGTGGGGTGCGTCTCCGGCTCCATGGGGTGGCGGGCGCGCGCTGGCCTTGTGCGCTGTCCACTCGCTGGCTCCTGGACGCTGGCCGGCACCCTCGGGCCGGGTGCTGCTCCAGGCTCGGGGACGCGCACAGCAGGCCAGCCAGGCTGGGGAGCACCTGGGGCCCGAACCCAGGGCCCGAGTTTTCGGAAGTGCTGCCACACTGGATGGCCTTCGCTTGTCCCAAGAGGCAGGTGACAGGGCCCCACGGCGCTCCTGTCCTGTGAGTGGCTCCTTTCCAGGGCCTGGTCCAGCAAGCCGCAACCCTAGGGCCCTACCCCGCCTGCGGCCCCCTGTGCCCTGGCTGGGAGGCTGAGAGGGGCCCAAGTCTCTGTCTGGCAGAGGAAAGGGGACCTCGGTCACCTAGAGCCCCCTGGATGTCCGCCCGGGACCCATGGCTCTCCCGTTGGGCTCTGTCCTGCAGCACCCCACCCCCACTGTGGGGAGCCCCAGGCCCTTGTTGGGATGGGTGGGCCCCCTCCATGAAGGAGGGGTGCTGCGTGGCGAGGGCGGGTCCTGGGCTGGGTCAGCCCCTCACGGCCTCTTCTATCCTCACAGTGCGGCTGCACGACAGCATCTCTGAGGAAGGGTTCCACTACTTGGTCTTTGATCTGTAAGTGTCTGAGCTGGGGGATGCTCCCCTGCATGGCTCTGGGGGTGGGCAGGGGAGGGGTGGGAAGGGGGGCATCTGAGGCTTCTGCAGCCCCTGCCTCCCAGGCCTCCTCCCTTCCAGGCTCACCAGCACAGCCTCCCACCGGCTGTGTCTGGAGTCCCACAAGCTTGGGGCTGCCCCCTGGGCCCTTCGGGCAGGGTGCAGGGGTGAGGGAGGGGAGGACCCGAGGGGCGGTCATGGCCCTTCCTTTGTAGGTGTTCCCTGGGGTCCTCATCACAGCCGACTGGCGTGAGTGTGTGTGTCCTCGTGAGCACGTGCGGTTTCTGGGGGTGCGTGCACGTATGTGTGTCTGTGTGTCCATGCGTGTGCGTGTGTGACGTCCGACGTGCGGACTTTGGGGCCTCTGGTGCCTCTTCCTTCCTGCCTGATTCAGGAGCGGTGAGCTCATCCCCGTCCGTCCCTGGCCGCTCCCACTGTGCGGCTATATTTAGCTGCCGGTGAGTCACTGCCGCTGGGGCCCTGGAAGTGGGAGGGCGGGGCCCTGGGCTTCGGGCGGCCCCTAGTGGCCTCTTGATGGCCACAAGGCCAGGGTGCTGTCACCTGTGTGATGGGACACCTGCCTGGGCAGCTGCTCCTCCCTCTAAGACAGATGCCGCCACAGCCACGGAGCCCTCAGTGCCCTCCGGGTCCCATGGTCCAGAGGGGCCGGGACTGTCCCTGCAGGGGCTTGGTCCTCTCTCAGTCCCCCAGTGTCCTACCAGACCGTGCTCTGAGGCAGCCCAGGCTGGGCTGGGACACAGCTGTCATTGCCAGGCTGAGGCTGTGCCCTAAAGGTCTGTTCCATGGTCCCTGCAGAGGGAGACAAGCTTGCTGTACCCCCACCTCGTGTCCCCCCAGACCCACCCAGTGTCACAGGGAGTGTAGGGGCCATGTGGCTGGAGGGCGGCCATGCCTGGGCCCTGGTGGCAGACAGCTGGGTGGGTGTGATTCAGAAGACAGGAGGGAGAGAACGGGGTGTGTGTCGTGTGCACGCTCGTGGGCTCGTGCATGCGGTGCACGTGTGTAACTGCGTGTGTGCGTGTGTGTGCACGCACATGTGTAGGTTCATGTTTCTTGGCCTACATGACAGGCAAGCGTGGGGAGCCCAGAGAGGAGTACTTGGCGGTGTTTCTGGGGGTGGGGCAGGGGAAGGGCCCAGGCCCTGCACGCCCTCCCTGAAAGCCTCTGTGGCCCATAGGCCTGCGGTGGTCCTGACCCCACGGAGGCCTCTGTTCCGGGGCCTCAGGCAGCCGCTTCTGGGGTGGGCCGGGAGGGAGCGGGGAGCGTCGGATAGGCCCCGCCCCACCACAGCCCCTCCAGCCAAGCAGCATTCCCCGCTATGTGGCACTAGAACCGGGGAACCACTTCTTGCCTGGGTTGGCGTCACCTTCCAAAGGCCCCAAGTTTGGGGAAAGTGTGGATTCAGGAGTTGACAGGTTTCCCCACTCCCACCCCTGGGAATGTCACAAGGACTTGGGGACAGCCGCACATCAGCCATGTTGTCCCGCTGAGGACAGGGAGGACAGGAGGAGATGTCAGCCTCTGGGTCAGGTTGCCTCTCACCTGCATGAGACGCCACCCTCCCCCTGCCAGCAACCAAGTCCCGGCCCTGCTGCTCTGGACCGCATGGCCCAGGTGCAGGGACCCACAGGCCTATCCCCAGCCTGGCGAGGCCTTGCTCCGGGGGGGCTCCCCGGGTTTGGACTCAGGGTCCGCAGAGCCTCTCCTGGGTGTCTGGGTGCAGGGAGGTAAACAGTGAGTCCCCTCTCCTGGGCTGGAGCCCTGACTGCGTCTTCCCGCTCCATGCGCACATGGACACACACGCGCACATGAGCACACGCACACACATGGATTCACACGGACACACACATGCACACACGGACACGCACACACACACGTGCACACGGACACGTGGGCATGGACACGCACACATGACACGCACACAGACACACGTGCACACGGACACACACACGCACATGGACACACGCACAGACACATGGGCACAAACGCGCACACACAAACGTGCACACAGGCACACAGACACGCACGCACACACGGACGCACACGCATGGACACATGAGCACACACGTACACACACGCACACGTACACATGCACGCACACGGACACACGCACGCGCACATGGGCACACGTGCACGTACGCATACGGGCACACACGGACACGCACGCACACACGGACACACACATGCGCACATAGACACACATGCACACACGGACGCATTCGCAGACGGACACGCAAACAGACGCACACGCACTCGGGCACACACGCACACATGCGTGTGCACATGGGTGTGCATGCACGTGCCTGTGGCACAGGCCGGCGCACACACGCCTGCGAGGCTCAGCCTCTGTTAGGCCGTCGCCGGCTCTGAGCCTCGGGCTTTTCTGGTGGCAGTTCGGAACCCCAAGAGCTCCTTCCTCCCAAGTGCTTGGCATGTCCAGAGGGGTCAGAAGCAGGTGTGTCGCCAGAGAGGGGCATGCTGAGCCCCGACACATCCTGTGTGTCTTGCCGTCTGACTTTAAGGGAGCGTCGACCCATGCCAGGGGCACCCACTCAAGCAGGCCCGGTGCCTGTCGCCCCTGCCTCAAGCCAGCCCGCCCCAAGCAGGGGCACAGAACTGAGGCCCACACAATCCTCACCTTCATGAACAGAAATACCGATAGAGAGGGCGCAGCCCCTAGGGCCAGCGCCGCTGCAGAGGGAGGCAGCTCTTGGCCTGGCCATCTCAGCGGTGGGAAGCCTGGCCGGAGACTGCGGAGCTGGGGTAGGGCCTGCGGAGTGCCCCGGGAGGGCTCCTCCCTGCTCCCCCTGCATCTGTGCCTCACCCCTGTTGTCTTCACCTTTCTGTCCACCCTTATTTTCCAACTCAAAGGGCCCTGGGTGGCCTGGAGTCTCTCGGGTTTCCCAGAAGCCCTCTGGGCAGTTTCCTGTCTGGGCGTCCGTCCTGATCGTAAGGCCCTCACTGAGCAGGGACACGTGGCAAGTGGGTGTGCAGACAGAAATCCCGCCCTGCTCCTAGATGGGGCTTGGGACACCTCACGGGCTCACCTACAAGGGAGGCCAGATCCGGACACTGGCTCTCTGGCCCCTTGCTCTGTGCGGGGTCACAGCTCTGGTTCCGGGGGACATGAGGAGGGATCCAGATCTCTTCAGGCCCAGAGTTAGCATGACAAAGCCTGGGTAACACTGCAGAGGCCTGGGTCAAACTCCTGTGCTGCCCACACGGGGCCACCACCCCGTCGAGAGCCCATTTTCTGAGCATGACAGTGCCATGTCATGGAGCGGCTGTGAGAGTGGACATGTGAAATGATACCGTGTGTAAGGACTCGGTCGGTTGTTAGTCCTGGGAGGTGAGGACGATAGGGAAATAGGGTAGAGAATGGGGAGGGGGAGGAGGAGTCATCGATGTTGCCAGCGGTGACGATGGGGATGGAGTGATGAGGCAGATGGGGTCCTCAGAATCTGTGACCCGTGCTTTGTCTTCAGGGTCACGGGCGGGGAATTGTTCGAGGACATTGTGGCCCGAGAGTACTACAGCGAGGCGGATGCCAGGTGGGTATGCAGGCCTCTGTCCTTCCGGCTCCCTTCTCTTCCCACCCCTGCCTCATTCGGTCGCCGCCGGCCCCCGGGGCCCGCGTGTGCTCCTGTGGGCAGAGCGGCTCACACGGCTGAGGCAGACGGTCTGCCGGGCGGAGGCGGCGTTCCTGCTGGGAGCCTGGAGCACGTCCCAGGAGTAGCCACTTTTGTGTCCTCCCCCAGATCGGAGCGGGCTGGAGTCGGGGAGTACCCGGGCCGGCTCCGCTTCCCTGGGGTGGGGATGGCCCAGAGAGGGGTTTTTTCGGTGGGGGCGGGCGGTGGAAGGGGGAGTCATGGTGCTCCCCCCGCCCCCACCTTGGACATCTGTTTGTGGCCCACAGCAGGCACATGGCAAGGCCTTCCTTGAGGAGATGGGCAGTTTCCAAATGCTTTTCCGAAGATGGGTCAGGGGTCCCTTTCCGTGCCGTCTTTCCATGGCCAGAGGCAGGAAGGGCAGGCAGGAAGGGAGAGCCCGTCCATGGTGGGCAGGAAGCCAGGGCCCTGCGTGGAGGGATGGAGGGACTCAGGCTCCCTCTGGCTGAGGCTCCTTTGGGGGCCCCTGGGCAGACCTTCCCCCTGGGGTCAGCCATCCCAGGGAAGGAGAGCCCCAGGGACATCAGGGGGCCACCCGCGGGCCACCCGCAACATGCTGCTGGGGACACAGGGCCCTCCTTCCTGGAAGGGATGCCATTGGCGGCCAGCTGGCAGCTGTGGCCCATGCATGTCAGCCTGAGGACAGCTGGGCCCCAGAACCCCTCTTGTGACAGACAAAAGGCTGCTCTGGTCACTCTAACTGCTGGTGTTCACTGTGGATGCTTTTTATTTTTAATTTTTCATGTTACTTGTTCCTAAAAATTTTATTAAGCATATATTCCTTTTGAGGAATATTTCTTGAGCATATATCCTTTTCTAATCCAGAAAATTAATATTATTATTTCATTTTAATTTTTTTTAAAAGATGTTATCTATTTGAGAGAGAGAATGAGCCGGGGGGGAAGCAGAGGCAGAGGGAGAGGCAGGCTTCCCACTGAGTAAGGGGCCCATAGACACGGGGATCGGTCCCGGGACCCCGAGATCAAGGCTCAGCCGAAGGCGTTTGCTTCACTGACTGAGCCCCCGGGCGTCCCTTGAATATTATTTTTTAAAGTAGCTTTTTGTGACTCCTTTCTTTACCCACGGGCGACCGTGCCTGCTGGCAACAGCCCAAGCGAGTCCCGCGGTGGCCTGGGTCGCTGTCCAGGGCCTCCTGGGTCCTCCAGGGTCGGGGCCGGGGTTGGAGGATATCAGGGACGGGGCGCAGGGGCATGGCTGCTTTCCCAAAGCTCCGTGAGGAAGGACCTTCGCTTCGTCCGCTCCCCCGGGAGTGGCCGATCCCCTTTGGGAGCAGATCGGTCCTCCTCTCCTCTAAGAAAAGTAGGGAGAGCAGGCGAGCCGTGTGCCCGGGCTCGGTGGGGCTGGGGTGGGGACGTCCGCAGAGTGGGCGCCTGCCTGCGAGGCCTGAGCGGTCCTGACCTCTGCCGGGGGGTGGGGGGGAGCTCTGGGGAGGCCCGGTGGGCAGGGTCCTGCTGGCTGGGGCAGGGCCTGATGCCCACCACCAGGGCAAAGCCAGCATGAGGAGGGCCTGCCTTCCAGTTCTGCCACCACGGCCACGGGGCTGCCTGCATCCGGGCCGCGGGCCTTCACGGCCCTCTGTGTCCCCAACGGCAGTGTCCTGCCTCTGGGGCCTTTATCCTCGGCACCCTTCACCGCCTGGGGCCTGGCCCCTTCCCTGCATTCCGCAGCAGGTGCTCCCAGCTCAGGGGTGTTAAGGCCCGTGGCTGCAACTTCCTCTTGGCTGGGAGCCCCTGGGCGCTGCCCCCCACACCGGCCCGCCCACGCCCAGCCGTGCACACGCCCTGTGCTCCCCGACGCCTGTGGCCTCCGAGCTCCTCCCTCGCCCGTCTGCCCCTCCTGCCTGCGTCTCAGTCTTGTCTCCAACACCCCCTCCAGCCCCCGGCCCTGCCGCTTGATGCCCAGGGATCCCTCTGGCCCCACTCCTGTTGGGGACCCTATCGTGGAGGGCCCTCTTGGTGTTAGGGGTCCCTTGGAACTGGCCCAGAGGAGACAGGGCTGGAGTTCCCCCAACAAATGCCTAGTTTTCTTTCACGAAGCCTGCCTTGCTCACTGTCCACTGCGGAGAAGGCGACGAGGGGACTCTTAGGGAGTGCTTCTGGGCGCCTCTTGTCCCCGGAGCTCCGGCCCTGCGTTTGATCTTCGTGCTGGTTCTTTGTTTCTGGGCAGGAGGACATGACCATCTGCCATAGACTTGCCCACGGGCATTGTCAGGAACCGTGGCAGGCGTGGCCCAGGCTAACTCCCATCCTGGGAGGGCTGCCTGGCTCTGGGGACCTGCCCCTGAGAGGGGTCGTTGGCCCCGTGCGGAGGCAGGGAGGTCTGGCCCTGGGGCCGGCCAGGGCCAGTGCTGCTCGCAGTGGGGCGTCCTGGGGCTGCCATCGTGGCGAGTCTCTGGAGGAGACGGGAGGAAGGCAGGCACTGCTGTTCTGAGCTCTTTCCCGATCCTACTTCAGAGAAATGTGGCGGTTTGTGGGGAACCTGGAGTGTCTTTTCCCGAAGCAGGGAAAGCAAAGGTCAAAATATTTAGGACCCAGTTTTTAGAACCCTAGAAAGCTATGTGGGTCTTGAGAGATGTTTCAAGGGCCCCCGAGAATCCAACTGCCCCAGCGAGGAGGAGGCAGCGGCAGGGGTGCAGCTGGGGTGACCCCAGAGCCCAGTACCAGGAGAATGGTGTCCAGGACCCAGCCAGCGTCTAGAATGCTCTTGGCAACAACTCTGACCCAAAAAGTCCCCGCCAGGAAGATGGCACAGTGTGAGCAGGAGGGAAGGTGGGCAGGACTCCAGGCTGTGCTCCCAGGCTGGAGTGGGCAGGGGCCAGTAGTGCCCCGGAGCCCCCCGGGCCAGGGCCTCCCGGAATGGGCTCCTGCAGGCTGCAGCGTCAGGCTCCCACCACCACGTGGCCGGCGGGGAGCCCAGCTTAGCCAGCTCCCTCCTGGCCGTGCGGGAGAGAGTGCGAGCCTGTGCCCTGCCCGCCGGTTTCTCCCTCCTGGTGCCCATGAAGCCCCTGGAGTGGGGTCTGTCCTCAGTCCCGCGATGCCCCCAGAGAGACACGCCGGCCAGGAGTGTGGGCTCACGTCTCTGGTGCTGCTTTGGGCCCTGTGTTCCCAGGAGGGGACAAGGAGGAAAGCGGTGGTGCAGCCCCCAGTCTGAGCCAACATTCCGTCTGTCCTGCAGTGCACGGACCTGTGGGTCCAGCAGACGTTCTCGGAACCTCTCCCTGCTGGGCGCAGCCCAATCATGAGGAAAGAACCCTGTCGGGACTGTCGTAGAGGCTGTGGGACTGTGGGACTGTTGTGGGTGGCCCAGAGGGTGTTGTCAGGGCTCAGAGCCAAGGAAGGGTCTCGAGGGGCAGGTGGAAGGTGGGCTTGACCCAGAGCCGAAGCAGGTTGTGCCGCAGGCTCAGCAGGTCTGACGAGAGGCCAGGGACCCCGGGGCCCGCCGGAGTGGCCAGAGGCCCAGGCCATGTCCCCCTGTGGCCCGCGAGGGGGCAGGCTCCTACGGACAGCGGGGTGCAGGCCAGCACCAAGCGGCAGCAGCTTGGGAGGGGGCTGGTCTGCCAGGGCTCCCCACCGTCCCCCAGTTCCCTGCCAATGCCACAGTGCGAGGTGGGCCCAGCGACCGGTGGCAGAGCGCCGGGTGTGAGCGCTGACAGCCGTGGGGCTCTGCCTGCACCCCGTGTCCTACACCAACCTTAGAGGAGGGGCCCCGGTGGGGTGGTCCCCCCAACGAGCTTGCCGTGGGGGTCAGCCCACAGGTGCTGAGCGCATGGCCGCCATAACGGGGGTCTGGCGCCACCAGGACGGGGATGAGGACCATGGGGGATGGTGCTAGGCAGATGAGGGCTTTGTGGGAGTCGTAAGAACAAGGCAGGTTTTGAGGGTGAGTTAGGCCAGTACACAGGGACAGGAGACCCCAGATCCCGAGATTCAGGACATGAGGTGGCTGTGGTTCCAGCCTGTGGTAGCGCTGATACCCCCAGGTCTGGGCCCGGCTCCTTCTGACCCTCTGCAGAGCTCAGGTACTGTGGTCATTAGGTTTCCCAGGTCCTGGCTTGTGCAGGGAGGAAGCTCAGGTTTCCTTCCCGGGCCATGGGCAGATGTCCCTCATGTGTGTGCTCTCACAGCCATGCCCAGGGCTACCTGAGGACCCGGTCTGGTCCCTCACCCCCCATGCCACGTTCGCAGTTAGGAGAATAGCTGACCCTCAGTCACCTGCCAGGTCCAGGCGTGGCAGGAGGGGTCCTGAAGCAGTCTGCCTCCCTGCCTCGCCCCCACCCGAGGGGCTGTGAGTGCTGTCCTGGGCGGGGGGCTCCTGGCGGCCCGCGGCTGGCCATGCTGCAGGGGTGGCTGGGATCCCAAGGAGTTGGGGGCTGGCTCTGGGGCAGCCGGCAACCGTGGGCACCCTCGGGGCACCTGGGGGAGGCAGGCTCGGGTCCCAGGGTGTTGTGTCCTCGGGGCCCGGGGCGTGAGTGATGGGCATGCACCGGTGTGCGAGGAGCCTGAGGGCAGCCCTGAGCTCTCCCTGCAGCCAGGCATGCCCGGAAGGCCCCCGACATCTCCCTGGCTCAGGGCTCGGGACAGAGGCAGGAAGCTTCCGGGACCACGGGGCTGCCCCGGGGCCGAGCAGCCAGTGTGGCTGACTGTGGGATTGCCACTGCGCCAGGACTGCGGGGCTCTGGTGGCCACCCCGCTCCACACGGCTGGCCTGCCCGGCGGGGTGTGGGCTCAGCCCTGGTCCCCCTCCGAGAGGATGTCTGGCGCAGGGTCAGGCCTGAGCGGCCTGAGCCGGGGGTTACAGGGGTGTGTCCTCTGAGTACTGCTGCTGTGGGCCTGGTCAGAGGAGAAGGTGGGGCGTGGGGGCTGGCCCTGCCCTGTGCTGGCCACAGGGGACCCCTTTCTAGCCGGCATCTCCTCCCCTGTGCGGCAGGCGGCACCTTGACTCTCTGCTTTCCTGCAACCCCAGTGCCACCTAGCACCCCACTCCCACACCCCTGCCCCTCACGGCCACCCTCACTAACTCGCCTGCCGTTCGCCGCAGTCACTGTATCCAGCAGATCCTGGAGGCGGTTCTGCACTGCCATCAGATGGGCGTCGTCCACAGGGACCTCAAGGTGAGTCCCCAACCCTGCTCTGGGCCAGCTGGCCGTTGGCGGCTGCGTGTCCTGCAAGAAGGGGCCCGGGAGGGGAGGGGAAGCGCGAGGACGAGCACGTGTGGGGGCGCATGCAGTGGCGCGTGTGTGCGCATGTCCACTCGGGGTGTCTGGGCTCCAGGGGGGAACACAGACCCAGCAGGGGGGCACACAGGTGACCTGCACACAGGTGGGGCAGATGCCCGGGGAGCAGGGTTGGGGAGGGCGGCCCCGCTTGCCTCTGCCGGCGTCCAGCCCGTCCTGCGAATCTGCTGCCCTGGACTCACTCTGGGCAGCGGTTTGTCCCCCCGTAGGGCACCGCGTGGCCTCAGGGGGAGCAGCACCCCCTCCACCTTTCCTGCCTCTCAGTGTCTCCAAAGTGGGCTTTCCTCCGGGCTGGGCTGTGGGGGAAGGGACTGTAATTCCTGCCGAGAGTCCCCAGGTGGCACTTGAGACCGACCTTCCCAGGCTGAATGGGGTCACACCTCCCTTGGGCCCCCGATCTTTGCAGGGGCTGCTCTGGGATGGTGTCGCACCAGGAGCAGGCCCGGGGCCCCCTCCCGAGCCCTTTCCATCTGTCTCTGCACGTCCCACATGGTCCTGCGTCCTTGCCTGCTTTGTGCGCCCGGGCCGTGGGCCTCAGCGTCGGGCACCACGTTTGGTCTGAAGCTGTGTCCCGTGGCAGCGTGCCCCCCACTGTGGCCATGGAGCCTGTGAGGCATGAACATATGTGCCCCCCCCACCCCGGCCCCGGCATGTCCTGGGCCATACCAGCCTGCTGAAAAGAAGAAAAGGGCAGGACAGTGGATCTTCTGCCTCCTGCCGGGTGTGGAGGGCAGATGGCGTCTCCTCTTTCAGAGAGGACGCCTGTCTCCTGACGGGGACAGACCCCCAAGGCCATCCTGTGGTGGGTTTGCACTCAGCCGAGAGCGGTGTGGGGAGACCCGAGGGATTTGGCACTGTGTTGGGGGGTTGTGAGGGAACCAGGGGGGAGCGGGGGTCCCCCACTCTTCTCTGGGGTTGAGCCCTCATCCATGGCAGTCCTTCAGACCCCTTGATGTGGGTGTGAGGGGAGGTGGGGTCCCCCTAGTCCCACTCACGTTCACCAAACAAAGACGTGAGGGGCCCTCTCTGCTGGGCAGGCAAGACCCCATGTCCACAACACATCTCACACAGGTGACATGCTGGGGACATGGGGCCCGGCCAGCAGTGTGGGGCCCGGGGAAGCGCTGGTCTCTGCCACGGGGCTGGCATCCTTCATGGGTTCCAAGGGGCCGTGGGCACATTCTGCTGCCCCAGGGTCCTCAGCACTGTTAACAGGGTGTTTCCTGGGGCACCGCCACGGCTATACTCTCAGTGGGCCTGCCTGCCAGGACGGTGGCCTGGCGAGGGGGCTGAGGGCCCCTGGTGGTCGGGGACGAGGGAGGCTGGAGGCCAGAGCTCTGAGGGCTCTGCACTGACCGCTGAAGGCGGCCAGGCCAGCGTGGGCGGGCCCATGGACAGGGCACAGTGCACAGAGCGCCCCGTGGTGCTCCTGTGGGATGGGGGACAAACGTCCCTTCAGCTTGCCCAAGTGCGCTGCTCCTGAGGCAGGGGGGCCTGTGAGGGGCCTTTTCCCGCTGGGGACGCTGGATGGCCCGAGCCAGAGGGATGGGGCGGTCAGACGCTCTCCGCTTCTTCCTTACTCTGGTCCTCTGGAGGCGGGGGGGCAATCATTTCTCAGGCAGCCCCCACGGAGTCTGAGCACCCAGATGTGGGACATGGCGGGCGCACTGCCTGCCAGGCTGGTAAGGGGCTCTCGGGTCTGCCCGCCACATTCTGAGCTCTCGGCCTGGGTGTGACCGCTCCCCTCTGCCCCCTTGGGTCACAAGGAATCTGCCGGGGCAGCACCCACGCGGCAGGGTGTCAGCCCGCAGACCGCCATCGCATCTGCTGTGTCCCCTCCCCTCCGTGCCCTGTGGCATGACCCACACGCGCACTGGCGTGTCGCCTTCCCTGCAGCCCGAGAACCTGCTTCTGGCCAGCAAGTGCAAAGGGGCGGCCGTGAAGCTGGCGGACTTCGGCCTGGCCATCGAGGTGCAGGGGGACCAGCAGGCATGGTTCGGTGAGTGGGAAACCCGGCCGCCTGGAGCGAGGGTGGGGGTCTGCTGCCCTCTTGGCCCTCACACCGCCCCTGCCCTGTCCCTAGGGTTTGCCGGCACGCCAGGCTACCTGTCCCCAGAGGTCCTGCGCAAGGAGGCCTATGGCAAGCCAGTGGACATCTGGGCATGCGGTGAGCCCTCTGTGGAGGCGGGGTGGGGCCGCGGGGCCGCGGTGGAGGGAGCCCTGTGCTCGTGCCAGGCTTGCCCCTGGGCTGACTCGGGGCTGCTGTCCGCCAGGAGTCCCCCTCCCCACCCAGACTAGAATTGCTCATGTGACCCTGGCGGGGCCCACCTGGCTGGAGCCCAGCACCCCAGTGCCTGCCCTGAACCCAGAAGAGAGGTCTGGGCCAGAAGGAGCACATGGCGTGGGGTGGGCGGGGGGCCTCGTGCAGACCACTGTGGCGGGGTCGCTGCAGGAGCTGAGCCCTGGACGTGACCCTTGTGTTCCGAGGGCCTGGGGGTGGGCTGGGGTGGAGCCTACAAGGGGGGTCCAGAGAGTGGGGGGCTGGGGGAGAGGTGGGGGCTGGGGAGGAGGCTGGGGGAGGGGAGGCAGGGCGGTGCGTGAGGCCGGCGCTCTGCTCTGCCCAGGGGTGATTCTGTACATTCTGCTGGTGGGCTACCCGCCCTTCTGGGACGAGGACCAGCACAAGCTGTACCAGCAGATCAAGGCGGGAGCCTATGACGTGAGTGCTCGACCCTTTCTGCCCCTCCTCAGCCGGGCCAGGCAGGCCCCCGTGAGAGCCCTCAGAGGACCCTGGCTGCTGTCCGGGGAGGGGGCTTCACACTCCCGCCTTGTCGCTTCCGTTTCTAGTTTCCATCTCCTGAGTGGGACACGGTCACTCCTGAAGCCAAAAACCTCATCAACCAGATGCTGACCATCAACCCCGCCAAGCGCATCACAGCCCACGAGGCGCTGAAGCACCCGTGGGTCTGCGTAAGTCCTCGCACGCAGACCCTGGGGTCCTCTGCCCGCCACTGGCGCGTCCCCTGGGTCTCCTGGCTGCGCGCCCCCCGGGGGCCTGGGACCCGCTGCGGGCTGTCAAGGCCTCCGTCTCTGGTCCTGCCTGTGTGTGAGGGGACGGAGTGTCGAGGCAGGCCAGGGGGCCTGGGTAGGGGACACGGCCGTCAGGAGCGCCCGGAGGGTGAGGGTGGGGGGCGTTCCAGGTAGAAAGGGGCGGTGGGCTCAGGGCTGGGCAGCCAGGGGGGCACAGCTGAGCTCTGGCTGCAGTGGGCGGCTGGTGGCTTTGGCACAAGGGCCGTGGCACAGCTCTGCTGTCCTGAGCCCTCTCCCTGAGGGATGAAGACCTCTCGGAGCCTTTAGCAGGGTGTGACGGCCCCTCTCCCCACAGCAACGCTCCACGGTGGCCTCCATGATGCACAGGCAGGAGACCGTGGAGTGCTTGAAAAAGTTCAACGCCCGAAGGAAGCTCAAGGTGAGACCTGGGCCCCAGCGCCCAGCCCGCCTTCCCCATGGCCCGCGTGCTCGCCCGCTGGGGGCTTGCCCGTGACTTGACGGCCCCAGGCCAGGAGTGGCCAGAGGGGTCCCTGCGGGCTGGGTGAGGGGAGGCACAGGGTCCCGGCGATCCCAGCACCCTCCCAGAGCAGACGGGTCAGGAGGACCCAGCCCCCCGCACGGCAGCGGCGCTCGGGCCCCCCCCCCCCGGGCTATGGAGGCGCAGGTGCCCCTGGTTGCTGCTCCGTGCCCCAGCGTGAGTGGGTGGGCGGCCTCGGACCCCGACAGGCCTGGTGTGGACAGCAGCCCGAGCCGCTGGTGGCCGGGTGTGGGGGGAGGAGGAGGAGGCTGGCCGCAGCAGCCCCGGTGGTCCTGAAGGCCCCTGGAAGCTGTGCTCAGCGGGCAGCCTCTGTTTTCACTCGGGAAGTGGGGGCCAGTCCCTGAGCAGCTGGAGAGCCGGTAGACTCTTGGGGTGCCAGGCCGGGACCCAGGTCCTGCGGGTGCCCCCGGGCTGAGGTCCGGGCTGGGGCGGCCTGGCCTCAGCAGCGTGTCTCTCCCCAGGGTGCAATCCTTACCACCATGCTGGCCACAAGAAATTTCTCAGGTAAGAACGGTCAGCGCGCGGAGGGGAAGGCTTCCCAGGGAGCCGCCGCTGGTGGCCCACCCCTCTCACATCCCCCTTCCCCCCGGCCCTTCTCCCCCACGGTGCAGTGGCCTTCTGCCCGCTCAGGACCGCGAGGCCTGGACTCTGGGCAGCACCCCAGGGTCCGCCCCCACCCCGACCCAGCCCGGCCTGGGAGGCCGCCCGGCACACGTCCCCGTCCCTGCGTGTTGGGTCTGTGTCCTCGCTGCCGTCTGGGCCGCAGCCCTGTGTGTCTGTCCAGGTGTTGGTCGCCACCTCCGTGGCCTTGTCCTGAGCCCTCTGAGCACCCGTTCTGTGTGTGGGAGGGGAGAGGAGGACCCGGGACCTCTCCACCGAGCTCTGGACTCGCTGGCGGCCACCCGCCTGGGGCGCTGTGGGTGGGCGGGGCTGGGGGCATGCGGCTGCTGTGGGGGCGTCTGTCAGCGACCCCAAGGCCAGGGGCCCTGGCAGGCCCACTGGGCAGAGCGTCGCCCGCGGGGCAGGTGGCCCCCTGGATGTCCTGTGGTTGTGTGTCGCCCGCGTCACTGGGTGCGGGAGCGTCTGGGGTCCATCCCTGTTCGTCTGCATCTAGCTCCCCATCCTGTTCCTTTGGCTGTGGTACCGTGCTGCTGGGACCGGGGGCGTGTGTCATACCAACACTAACGGGTCCTGTCCTGTGCGCATGCCCACTGGGCACAAGAAGCCCCCGCTGGGGTTTTCTAAGGAGAAAGGAGGCAGACCCTTTCCAACTGTCCGTCAGTCCCAGTCCTGTTCCCACTCTCCTGTGAACGGGACTCTGGAACCATCCGCCACCCAACTGTGGACTCTAATCTTCTTCTGCTTCCTTTGTCTCTCCCCTCCCTTCCCCTGCCCGCCCCGTCTGTGTCTGCCCCTCCCTCGTCTCTAACCCGGTGCTAACAGTGGGCAGACAGACCACCGCTCCGGCCACAATGTCCACCGCGGCCTCCGGCACCACCATGGGGCTGGTGGAACAAGGTAGATGCTCTTGCCCAGGGTCCCGCCTGTTGGCATGCAGCCCCCTCGCTGCACGCAGCTGCCGGCCGGGCCTCCGGAGCTGCCCCCGAGGCCCCGGGAGCCCCCGCTCCCGCCGGGGACAGATCCCACATGGCAGCCTCAGACCCCATGCGCTGAAGGAGGGCTCAGGCTAGGGGACACCCGAGCCATGCCTCCCCCCAGATGCATTTCACTGGACCTTGGACCTGGCCCCTGAGTCTGGGGGTCAGGAGACCCCTCTGGTCAGAGCCCTGTGCTCTGTGATCTCTCTTCCTGCTTGTCCATCATGACTCCTGTTCAGAGTGACCTTGACCACCTGTAGGAAGCCTCACGGCTGCTGCTGGGTCTGAACCCTGAATGGGGGCTCTGGGGAAGAAGGCTTGGGGGCAGAGGTCCTGCACCATGAGCGCCCTCTTGCCAGCCCCCCGCCCCCCGCACTCCCCGCCTGGCCCGCCCCTGCGCCCAGGCAGCTGCACTGTGCTGCTCCCGTCACTCGCTTGGAGCGGGAGGTCTGTGTGGGTCTGACGTGCGCATGTCTGCTCTGCGAGCTCCAGGATGGGGGCCTCAGCCCCCAGAGAATGTCCTGTTGGGTCTTTCTGTGAGGCCCCGGGCCTCCTCCCAAATGTATGAGCAGAGAGGCTGCCTCTCCGGACCCCGCTCCTCCCAGGGGCCTCAGGCTAGCTCCTGCCCATCCCCTGTGAGCTGGCCAGAGCCCTGAGGGCTAGCGGACCCCAGGACCTGCCAGGGGCCCAGCCTGAGCCAAGGCCAGTGCAGGCATAGGGCGCACAGAGCCTGTTGCAGCCAAGGGCCGACCCCAGGGCTCCCCAGACGGAGCCGCGGGGGCCGGTTTTCTGCTGGTGCCTTGTGCTTTGGCCCCAGCCAGCCATCCACCCCATTTCTTGCTTCAAGATCCCGCAGGGGTGCATTCCTTAGCTGCCCACTCCTTGGGGTACTCCGGGCAGGGCCACCCTCGGGAAGGATGGTCTGTGCCCTTTCTGTGAGCCCAGCGGACGTGTCCGGAAGGCAAGGCCCCCGGAGGGCCGTCTGGAGCGCATGGGGCGGGGAGAGGAGGGCAGGGTGCCTGGGCGCTCCTGGAGAAGCGCGGCTGCCCAGCGCAGTGAGCGAGGCCGCTGGGCTGCCCTCTGCCGGGGCCCCTGCCTGCGCCCGCCCGGCTGCTGTGGACCGTGGATGCGCCGCGAATGCATGCGCCGTGTGCATGCCCACCCCTGCGGGGTGCCCAGGGCTGCTCCGTCCTGGAAGCAGTCAGTGCATGAGGACGGAGCCCAGCATGGCTGTCCGGGGCCGCCGGCGAGGGGATGAGCCGACGCTGGGCCTTGGGCTGAGGTCAGCCCACCTCGGCCAGTGGCACTGGGCAGGGTTCTCCGTTTCAAGGCCACGGCTCCTCCATAGGGGACAGCCTCCCGGGTGACGCACCGCAGGGGTCTCCGTGGAGACGGATGCCACAGGTTGTCAGAGCGTCTCGGCCTTCCCCGAGAGGGGGCGGGCAAGCTGGGGTTGGGGGGCAGCCATGGCCGGCCTGAGGTCTCTGCTTGTCCACCACGGGTCTGCGTTACGTGCTCAGCAACCCCCCGCCCCCCCCCGGGGCCCCTGCCGCCAACTAGTGCATCTGACTTGAGAGAGCGTGGAGGGAGGGCCCTGTGCTTTGTACTGCCGGTATAGACGCGTCCACAGGGCCCTGGAGGCAAGGAATTTCCAGGAGCTGCTTTCAGGAGGGGCCCTTCCCGTGTCTTGTAGCCGCTGGTCCAAGGGGAGGTGTTTGGGGATCGGTTAAGGGGCTGGGTGTCCGCTGTGAGGCTTTCTGGAGCCTGGGCCCCACTGGAGCTGTCTGAGTCTGGTGGGGTGTTGTCGTCTCGGGTAGCAGGGTCTGGAGAGTCAGGGACTGAGGGGGACCCTCTTGAGATCCAGGCCTGCCCCAGGGTCTCCGTCTGCTTCTCACCAGGGCTCGGTTTGAGAGGAAGGCCAGGCAGGGCAGGCTGTGTCTCCTCGGGGCGCCGGGCCGGCTCTGACGTCCTGCATTAGTGTGCGGGTTCTGTGGGGATGCATGGCTCTGGGATGCTGGGCTGGACGCCTCTTTCCTCCAGGCCTCTGGAGGACCCTGGCCCTGCTGGTCAGCCAGCAAGGACGGGGTCCCTGGGCTGTGTGACTTCAGCATGACTCCCACGTTGGGGGAGGTGGCCTACCTGTGCGCTGGACTTGGGGAAGGGAGCAGGGGACTGAGGTCAGTGGGGGTAAGGTGCAAAAGCTCCCGTGTCCACAGGTTTGGGCTGTCCCACCATGGTGGGTTATGGGGAGGTGGGTTGGAGCCGACCTCTGGTGGTTTCCAGGGTCCCCACAAGGGGAAGTGGCCCTTTGGGAGATGGCAGTTTTGGTCCTGGGACGCTCACGGGTCTGGGCCTGCAGGGCGTTGGGGTGCGGTCCTGATCCAGCCTCGCCAGACCGGGAGGGTGTGCTGCAGGCCTGGTGGGCAAGGGAGGGGCCCTGTCACCCCTGCACTGACTGGGATCCTGCGACACTTCTCGTGGCGGGGAAGCCTGCAGGACCGGGGCACGGGCCAAGAGGCAGGTCTCTGGTGACACGCAGCCCCATGGTTCCTGGTGGGGAAGCCTTTGAGAGAGTGGACTGGTTGTGGGGAGAGACCGCCCCTGGGGTGGCACTTGGACAGCCCCACAGGGCTCTCTGCTCGAGCACATCACCCATGTCCCTGCACAGAGCCTGGAGGGCAGCAAAGGGATCTTCACGGAGAGAAAGGTGGGCCACAGTCCAGAGGCTTGGGACCCTGACAGTGGTCTCAAACCAAAGCAGCATTTAGCTTTAGCCCCCTAGAACAGACACCCCACCACTCCTGGGAAGTCTCAGGGGGGCCTGGGTGCTGCCACTGAGGCTGCCAGTGTGGGGACCCCCAGTGGAGAACCGCTGCTCTCCCTGGGTCCCAGTGTGCACAGCGGCCCAGCGCCACGGCCTCCAGGGATGTTTCCCGCCATCAAGAGTACCCCCCCCCGCCCCCAGCAAACCACCGTGGGCTGCAGGGACGGCTGGCCGGCTGGAGGCTGGGGACCCATGGTGGGGTGGGGGGTGCAGCAGCCCTGGGGTCCCACCCCCGGCCTCGGCCCCTGGTGGGGCTGCTCTGTCCTGCACAGGTGGGGCAGCGCCGGGCCGGGAGTGCGGGTGGGGTGGGTGGGGTCAGGCGGGGTCCTGGGCCACACGCTTGCACTCCTGCCTGACCACATGAATCTTGTTTTCTTTCTTTCCCTACTACCACCTCCCTCCCTCCTCACCTTTCCTTCCCTGGAAGGTAAGCCGACTTCCCTTGCTTTGGCAGCCGTTCCACGGACGCTGCCCACTGCGCAGGGCCCAGATGCTGTGGGACTTGGAGGGGTGGCGGGCTGCCCTGACCTCTGTGTGGTCGTGTTGGGGCGAGCCAGGCCGTCTGCTGGGTGTCCCACAGGTGGTGGGCAGCCGGAGATGTGGGGGGGCCCTCTGGAGCCTTCCCCACGGGTGGCACCTTGTTGAGCCCATCAGAGCCCCGGGGCCTCAGGGGTGGGCAGAGGGGCCGATGCTGCCCCGATAAGGCCAGGAAATGACTCCAGGGTCAGGACTTCCAGGACTGGTTCCTGAAGAACGAGGCAGCCCCTTGGGTGCTGAGCCAGGTGGCCTGGGCCTGTGGGCAGGGCGCTGAGTCCTGTTTGCCGAGGATGGGGGCCGGGAGGCTGATGGCAGGCGGCCACCCGCACCTGGGATGAGCCCCTCCCTACATGGGTGGGTGGCCAGCTGCAGCCCGCCCCCGCCCGGGAACACAGGCAGGTGACAGGCAGTTGGCCCAGCACCCCAGCCTGGTGCCCCATCCTGTGTTCCTGTGCAGGGCGGGGGGCGCCCGCCTCCTTCTTGGTGGAGCCTGCACACTGCCCACGGCCGCAGGGCCACGTGGGGCAGGAAACCTGGGTGTCCTGCGGGGTCCTGGAGAGTGGCCGGGGGAAGGGACCTGTCCTGGGGATGAGAGCTTTGGGCTGTCTTGGGTCTCCCGTGGGCCTTCTCCAGGATGGCCAGGCTCAGAACTGGGCTGACCTGCTTCACCCCCCACCGATGACGGACGCCACCCTGCCTCGGGACTTGGGGTCCGCTGGCTGACCCCTAGCTCTTGGGGATCCCCAGAGCCCGGCTGGCCCTGAGGTCAGCTCACACCGAGGGGGTGGGTAGTCGGGGGCTGCAGATCCTTTGCTTATGTCGCCTGTTTCCTCCTGATGCAGCAGCCAAGAGCTTACTCAACAAGAAGGCTGACGCGGGGAAGGTGAGTGCCCTGGCCCTGGGCCCACGTGTGGCCGTGCTCCCCACCCTCCCCGGCGGGCAGGCCCTGGGAAGGGGTGTGGCTCCTTCCCCCCTGACTTCTTCCTCTCTCCACAGCCCCAGACAAACAGCACCAAGAACAGTGCTGCTGCCACCAGCCCGAAGGGGACACTTCCTCCGGCTGCCCTGGTACTGAGCCCCTCGGCCCCCTGCCCCCCGGCCCTACTGCAGCCCGGATGGGCAGTGGCCGCCTGTCAGGCATGGGGTGAGGTGGGGTGCAGCCCCAGCTACCTCCGATGGACGGTGCCTGGCCCTCCAGCTCCCCCTTGCTCCTCGGGTGTGGAATTCGGGCCGAGCCCCTTTCGGGGGGTCTCGGGGCTGCGCAGGGGCCTGGCCCGGTGTCCCATCTGTGGGTCAGCGCTGAGAGGCATTCAGGAGCCCTGCCCTGTGCAACCCTGCCCTCGGCGGGCCCACCCGGAGCGTCTGTGCCTGGCCACCCTGCAGGGGCCTGGCTGGGCGGGGAGATGCCTCCTGGCTGCTGCAGGGGCGCGCCGCCCTGGAGCTGAGGGCTCTGGTGTCTCCCAAGAACCATGGGTGGGGCTGGTCTTAGCTGCGGAGCCCCCCAGTGATCTGGAGGGAGATGAGCCGCTGTGGCAGTTGCTGGTGATGACCCGGCTGCAGCCAGGGCGGCTTCCCGTGGGTGGCCGGACCCTGCAGGCCCCAAGCCTCTGGGGGAAACAGCCTCGTGGCCGTGTTGGCCTGTGGCTGCCTGGCAGGGGCGGAGGAAGCCCAGGGGGCTTCTGGCTGGGCAGGCATGGGGAGACACAAGTTCAGAGGAGCCTGCTGGCTCTGGCCCTCTCGTTGGGGGGCCAGGGAGTGGATCCTGGCCAGGGCCCCCCCGAGCTGGTGGCGTGGCTTGTGATGGTGCAAGGGCACTATGTGCCCATGGTGGCCTGTGTAGGGCTGGCCGCCCCGAGAGGTCGGGGTTTGCCGGGGCCCGGGTTCCAAGTTCGTGCGGAACCCAGCCCCACACTGCCCACAGGAAGGCTTGGCTCGCCAGGTGGCCGTCCAGCACACGGGGGCGGCCTCAGCCCCGGAGGGGAGGGTCCCACACAGCCAGCCCCGTCTCGGACCCCGTCCATTCCATATGCCACCCCCACTTCCATGACATCTTCAAAACCGTGCCGCCATCCCGGGGCAGAGGGTCAGGCGGCAAGGCGAGGGGACAGGAGGACCTCGTTGCCCACCCGCCGCGCCCAGGCTCTGTGCTGCGTTCCGTGGGCGCGCGTGCTTCTTTCTGGCCTTCCCGGCCCCTGGGCCTCCCCAAACCGCTCTGCCTCCTGCCGTGCACGCTCGGCTGCCTCCTCCCTCCACCCACCTTCTCCTCTCACTTCCCTCTTTCCTTCCTCTGTGCTTCCTTCTTCTGTAGGAGCCTCAAACCACCGTCATTCATAACCCCGTGGACGGGATCAAGGTACTACTGCACCCACCAGCCCCCTTGGGAGCCTGCGCCCAGGCAGGAGGCAGGGTCAGGTCAGGGTCAGGTCTGGGGCAGGTCAGGGTCAGGTCTGGGGCAGGTCAGGGGCAGGTCAGGGGCACAGACCTGGGCAGCCCTTGTGCCGAGAGTTGGGGGGCAGGTGTACAGGGACCCTCTCGAGGCAGGACAGAGCCCCACAGGTCCACGGCCGCCCCCTCGGAATGAGGCCCCGGGCGCTGCCGTCTCAGGCATGGCTGTACCGAGTCACTGTTGACGGTGGGGGCCAGAACAGGGTCCGCTTCTCAGGACCCTCCAGGCTGTCCATCCGGCCCTGTCTGTGGGCAGAACCAGCAGAGCTGGGAGCCAGGCATGCAGGACTGCCTTGGGGTGCCAGGGGAGGAGGGAGCAGCACAGACGCCCCTGGCCGCCCCCATCACTCACCTCTGCCCCCAGTGCTTCCTACCAGGCCAGCCTGCCTCTGCGACGCTGCTCCGCACCCGGCATCTTCCGCTGCATGGGCACCTGCGCCCGGGGCCAGAGAAGGGGCTGGCTCTCAGGGTGGGGGGAGGGACGGCGGGCCGCCAAGCTGTGTTTCTAGGACCGGCACCCGCCCCAGTCTGCAGTCGGACTGCCCCCCAGCCCCGGGTTCCCCAAAGGGCCCCTCATATCCTGGCTGCAGGCCGGGACCAGGGGCCAGTGGCTCTCAGCACAGACGCAACGTGCCAGAAAGGGCCTGGGTGTCCTCCTGCCTTGTGGCTCGGGGCAGCTGTTCCTTGGGCCCCGTGTCTGGGGTGAGGCTCCTGTTTGTCTTGCAAGGGGCCTTTAGACAACCTTGGGGGGCTGTGGTACGCACCCCGATCCTACAAGCTGCAGGCCACCCCCATTGCCAGGCGGGGCCTAGCGCAGGGCGTTCACTCGGGGCTAGGAGGAGCCCTGGAGGACCTCAGGAGCAGGCGGACCTCCTGGGAAGTCCGTGACAGGTGACGGGCCGCTGGTTTTTGAGTGGGGTCGGAGGTGCTGGGACTGCCGGTTTACCCTTGCAGGCCCCCGCAGTGGGGAGACTGGGCTTGGCTGGACTGTCCAGGCCTGAGGGGCAGGCGGCCCCTGCTGGGGCAGGAGCTGCGGATACGGCCAGTCTCTTGAGGCCCTCCTGGAGCCTTCCCGCCCTGTCTGCCACAGTGCACAGGCTGGGGGTGCTTTCCCGTTCAGCTGGGAGTGCCAGACAGCCCGTTTTCCTCTCTTACGGAAGAGTCACAGGGAGTCTCTCCTCCAGGCGTGTCTGGTCAGGAGAAGGCGCGTCTGGGCCGCTGGCCGTTGCGGACGTGAGCGGCTGAGGCCTGGGGCTGGGTGACCGCCTGTGGGGTTCCGGGATGGGCACCTCCAGGCCCCACAGAGGTGGGCTGGGACAGAGACCTCATCTTGACCCGCTGTCTCCGTGTGTCCCCCAGGAGTCATCGGACAGCACTCACACCACTATAGAGGACGAGGACACGAAAGGTACATCTGGAAGATGGCACAGTGGGGCGTCTGGGATGCGGGCAAGGGGTGTCCACGGGGCGCTGGCCCTGCTTGGCCATAGCCCCCGGGGCCGGCCTCGTGCATGCGGGCCAAGAGGCCGGCGCCCTGGCCAGCGGGCAGCTCCCAGCCTGCAGGGGAACAAGTGCATGGTTGAATTTGGTTTTGATTTTTTCTCTTGAACTTCCTGAAGTCGGTGACTCTGCCTGGCTGGCAGCCACTAAGGAGACAGCCAGCAAGGGGCTTTGCCTGGGTTCTGGGTATTTCCACAGCCCGTGAGGGTGGGTGGGCCGCACCCGTGTAGGGCCCCTCGGCTCCCAGCTCTGTCCACCTCCCCGGGGAGGGCAGGTGGCATGTGGGCCCACCGGAGCCTTTGGGCCACATGGTCACAGTTCAGCCTTGAAGGACCGCGGGGCTGCCCCAGGGCCCGATGGCCAGCCATTCTGCCAGTTTGGGGGACACAGTGACACCCCAAAACAGAGGTGAGCACAGGCCCCTGGATGAAGGGAGAGTGGATGTTCACGTGGTTTCTGTGAACAGACGGCCACAGGCCCTTGTCGTCGGCACGGAGGCCCCCCTGAGGCCCTGTCTTTGCGGTTCTGCCCCGCCCCCAGCCTTGTGCGCGTCCTGCATGGCCGGAGGCTGCAGGAGCGTTGGCCGGCCTGCTCCGGCCCAGACCCCAGTGCGCCGTCGGGCGGGGAGAGCAGCCTCGGGCAGCGGGGCGGGCCCTAAAGGGCCCAGGCCTGCCCCTCCTGCCATCTCCAGTCCTCCGCGTCCCGCTCCTGGACCCAACTGTGAGCTGTGTCTCAGGTCCTCCAGCCCCACCCCACCATCCTCGTGCTGTCCCCGTCTCTCCCGCGTGCCCCCTCCTGTCTCCCGTTAGTGTCTCATCTGTCTGCCCCAACCCCCAGGGCCCCTGACACCCTGAGCTCTGTGAGGAGGGGCTCTGTGAGCTCTGAAGCCCACCCCCTACCTCATGCCCACCTCCCGCCAGCCCCCTGCGCGCTCCGCGTAAGTCAGTGGGGCGGGGGGCCGCTGCGGGCGGGTCTGCCTGGACGACCCTGCAGCAGCCTGTCTCTGTAGGGCTGCCCCGCCCTCTGCCCCCGCCATGGCAGCCTCCCCCCACCCCGCCGGGCCTGAGGCCCCCCACCCCGCTCCAGACACTGGCCAGGGGCTGCTTGGGCGGGAGTGAGCAGGCCGCTGCTTCCCCAGGCCGCTCACGCTCGGCCTCCTGTCCACCCAGCCCCCAGGGTCCCTGACATCCTGAGCTCCGTGGGGAGGGGCTCGGGGGCCCTGGACGCTGAGGGCCCCCTGCCTGCTCTGTGTAAGTAGTGCCCCCGGGCCGCTGCCCTGCTGCCGCGGTGCACGGCCTCAGCTGCCCCCGCTGCCCGAGGCTCAGGGCCCGGGCCAGGCTGGCCGCCTGGCACTCCCCGCGCAGGGCCCTCCCAGCCACCGCCCTCCCCTCCTCCTCCCTCCACCAGCACTGCGGACTGCCCCAGGCCTCTCCCCAACATGGTGTCCCGGGCATGGGCAGGGCCCTCCGGGCGGTCCACGGTGCGTCTCGCCTCCCTCACGCTGCCTGCCTGACCTTCCGGGTTGCAGCACCCTCGGGGCCCCACGGAGGCGTAGCCTCTCCCGACTGCACGACCGCAGGCCGTGGGCGAGACGGAGGCCTGGCCTTGCTGCCCAGCTGGGCCCTCCCTGGGCTCTGCACATGCTGGGCCACCTCTGTCCCTGGGGGGGGCACCCTCTGCCCACAGCGACTGAACGGCCATGGGCCGAACAGTGTGCCGCCCGCCCGTTCCTGAAGCCCCTCCTTTGTGCCCCCGTCCCCCTTCGTCCCCCACACTCCCCATCCCCCCGTCCGTCCACATCCCCTCTGTGCCTCCTTGTGTCCCACCCGTCCGCCCATCCCCCTTCTTCCCCCACAGCCACCCACGTCCCCGTCCCCCACTTTCCCCGTCCTTCACCCCACACGTCCACCTGCATCCCCCTGTGCCCCTGTACTTCTGTGTTCCCCCCACACCCCCGTGTCCCTCACGTCCCTTTCTGGGCCCCACATTCCTCGTGTCGTCCGCATCCACCTTCATCCCCCCACACTCCCTCTGTCCCCGGTATCCCCCCAGCGTCTCCCTCTGCCCTCCCTGTGCCTGTGTCCCCCTCTGTCCCTTCGTCTCTCTGGCTTAGCTCGTCCGCCCATAGCTTCTCTGTCTCGCGTGCCCGCCCCCAAGCCTCCCGTTCCCATCTGGTCCGCTCCGCCCCAGCCCCAGGCTCTCTGCCATCCTGAACACGGTGAGGAGGGGCTCAGCTCTGGAAGCCCAGGGCCCCCCCACCCTGTCTATCTCCAGGTCTCCCAGGCCCCCCGCCGGTCCTGTGTAAGTAGCACCTTGAGGGACCCCCTGGCTGCTCCTTGGGGGCTCACGGGTGTGGAGACCCCCGGCTGTGGTGTGCTGCCCCCTCACTCTGGGAAGGGGCCGGCTTGGGGGGCAGCGGGCAGAAAGGGGAGCACAGGGAATTCGACACGAAGGTGTCATTTGGCCTCAGAACAGGAGCTTGTGGCTAAGGAAGGGCGCGTGAACGCCTGTAGGGAGGAATCGGAAGCGGTCGGGGCAGACGACAGCCTCGCGCCTGTGATCTGTGGCCCAGTGACGCAGTGTTGGCTGCAGGGGCCCAGGGCGAGGGGTTGGGGGGACGAGGGCCGGCGCTGGGCTGGGGCCCCTCCCCAGGCAGGGAGGGAGGAGCCGGTCGCGCCAGCCGGTCTGCCGACTGCCACCAGGATCGCTTACAGGGATGGGTGACACCCCAGGGCTGCAGGCCCCCCCCCTCGCCACCTGCCGGGAGACACCAGGCGGGGAGGCACGGTGGGATGAGAGGCTGCGGGCCAGGGCTGGGCATGGCTGGGGAGTGGCTGGGTGAGTGCGGGGCCTGAGGGCCTGGGCAGGGACGAGGGGGAGCGAAGCTCGGCAACCGTGGGGGGCACAGGGGCTTCGGGGAAGCTGAGCCCACCCCAATGGCCAGGAGAGCATGGGGCGGCCTCCGGATAGCAGTGGCCCCCCGCAGAAGTGCTCTGTACTCTGCCAGAGGAGCGAGGCCAGGTGCGGGTGTCTGGGCCGCCTTGGCCCAGGGACGGAGGCTGGTCACAGGGCTGGGGCGGCGGGGAGTCTTGTGGTGAGGGAGAGGGTGCAAACGGAGCCTGGGAGGGGGCCAGCAGCATCCGTGTGCCTGTCTCCCTGGCCCCTCTTGGCCCCGGTTTCACAGATGAGGAAACTGGAGGCTGGGACGTGGAGCAGTGCCCCTCGGGGGGCTGCCCACCCAGGACTGCGAGCTGCCCTCAGTCTGCATCGCGGGCCGGGTTGGGGGCTCTGAGGACAGGGCATGCCGTGAGCACTGCATCCCGGGCTGACCTTGGGGGTCTGCCCTGAACTAAGCTGTGGAGGTGAGGACCACAAGAAGGGGCCCTGAGCAGGCCTGAGGGGAGGGGTGCTTGGGGGCCAGGAGCGGCAGGGGAGTGGGGAGCCCTAGGGAGCTGAGGCCCCCGAGGGACGGCGTCCTTGCTCCGGCATGTGCCCCCGCCCAAGTCCCCAGCACCACAACCCCTTCGAGAGCAGTGGGTCTGCTGGGAAGGATGGGTGGAGTCAGCCCCGAGAGGGGACTTGGCTCTCTAGACCCGCAGTCGTGGGTGTCTGAGCCGGGGCGCCCCCGTCTCCACCTCTGGGGCCAGGTTACTTGCCCGCCAGCTGTCGTTATGTGTAAATGGGGTCGGTGCCCACGGGCCCAGGCGGTGTTCCCCATAATCAGGGATTACAGCCGATCTGCCGCTGCCTGCCTGCGGGGGCTGTGGCTCCTGGTGCCCCCACTGCCAAGGGACGCGGATTAGGGCCAGCCCGGGGCCGCGGGGGTCCCGCCAGACCCTTTCCCAGCCTGTTAGCTTGTCCCAAGAGACGGAGTGTAGGGGCTCCGGTCCACCGCCGGGACCCCTCCCACGCTAGACCCTTGCCCCACACCTCTGCTCCGTCTACGGAGCTGTCTGGGCTGGGGGCGAGGGGCAGATGGCAGGTCACAGCCCGCAGCTTCACCTCACGGGGAGCCCCTGCTCCCCCTGGGGGAGGAAGGGCTGCCACACAGGGCAGGGGTGGGTCCGGGCAGCAGCCCTGCTGCGATCTCCCCCTGCTTATCCGCAGATCGGTGACACCAGGTCCCAAACCCCGGACTCGGCAATGTGTGCTGTGACCCCAAAGCCTCCTGTTGACTTTCTACTCTTGTTTTGTCTTAATACGCCACACGGCTTCACGAAGGGCAAGATTGGGGTGACTTACCACAGTACGGGACGCACGGGACGTGAGACGGGACATATCAGTCCATTCTGGTCACAGGGCTGTTGGCTGAGGGCTCCCATGGGGTGCTGATGTGGAAAAGGGGGCTCAACCGCTGTTGGGTGTTGGACACACAGGTGCTGCCCTCCCCTACATGGGCAGGGGGGGCCTAGCTTGGGGTCCCCAGGGAAAAGCTGGACTGCAGTGGTGACAGGGACCTGGGAGAGTGGGTGACCGTCCCCAAAGCAGAAATGCTCAGGCAGAGGGCAGAGGGGTGGGCAGGCTGCCGGGAGGTCACACACTGGGGATGCAGAGGGACCCAAAATGTCCGACATCCTGCTTCGGGTCCCAAGCCCAAGAGTAGAGTGTGGTGGGTGCAGGGACAGAGCTCTGCCAGTGGATATGGGCAGACATGGGGTCCCCGGAGCCTGCAGCCCACCGTGCTGGGGACCAGCTTCCAGGGCCGACCAGACAGTGAGGCCTGGGCTTGGGCGAGACAGCCTGGAGCCCAGACCCTGGCACGGTCCAGACACAGAGTTGGGTGAGAAATGGAAAGGGGGCCTTTGCACAAACACAGCTGGGTCCAGAGGAAGGGGTTTCCGAGACTGAAGAAGCTCTCCCGTCCATGCACACAGGAATCTCCACGTGCAAACAGGCACTTGCCCCCCCCGTGACACCAGCGCACACATGCACCCAAGCCCCCCGGGTGTCACGGAGCTCCCGCTGCCCATACTCTCCAGACCCCGTGCAGCACACGAGGCCCGCCTGGGCCCACGTGCACTGCGTGGCACCCACCGTTCAGGTGGGCATTGGTGGGAGGGGGCACGCAGGCAGCCAAGGGTGCTGGTGGTGGGGAGGAGCCCGGGCAGCCCCATGCCAGGGCGGTGGGCACATGCTTCCGAATGCGGAGTCACCCTCTGGAGACCCTGCTGTGTGTGCTTTGGGACTGGAGCCCACGCATCAGCACACAGGGGTGCTGTTCCCAGGGGTGCCGGTGGCCGGAGTGCAGACAGATGCCCAGTGGCAGGGACAGAGAGCTGCTGGGGAGCCAGGGAAGCTGCTGGAAGCGCAGTGACCTGGCAGGTAGCCCGTGGGGAGGAGCTCGTGGGATCCCACACTGGCTGGGTCTGAGGCTTACTGAGGGGAGCACTGCCGTTCAGAGGTCCCTGGGAGCCGTGTGAGCGCACACTCGACGTGTGTATGTACTTGGGGGTGTACATGTCCTCACAGAGACAGTTAAGCACCCACCAGAAGGCAGTCCTCCTCTGGGGAGGGGGAGTGAAGCATGAGATTTAGGGGAACACAGGCACTCACAGCTCTATCTGGTTTATTTCTATGAGCGTCTCCGTGGCCGTGAAAGTGATCCAGGTTTGAATCCGCAGTGGGGTGCGGCTGCATTATGCTCTGAAACAAGTTGTGATTAAAGAGAGAACGGGGACCGCAGGTCAGCACCCTGGGGCCAGGCCTGTCCCAGTGCAGAGGCCAAGTGGGCAGAAGCCCAGAGCCCCGGGACGGAGGGTGCTAGGTGGGCTGGTGATGCCAGGGGCGGGGGGTACAGAGGGGGCTGGCACCCGAGCCCTGGACTGCACACGGGTAGAGACCCAAGCAGGCAGGAGGCCAGCTGGCTGGCTGTGGGCTTCCAGGGAGAGACCCACAGACTCCGTGTCTCCCTCCTCGGTCCCCCGGCCCAGTTCCCTGCCCTCTTCTCACCCTGTAGACCCTGGTCCCCCCACCCCCAAGCCCCACCGCTTCACAGCCAGCCCTTACCAGATGTTCCTGGAGAGGGGCTGGATGCTGCAGGGGCTTGGGGGCCAAGTCTAGGTGGGCAGAGGCCAGGAGGGCCGGTTCCAGGGGACACGGCTGGAGGGACTGGGGACCACAGTCATGGTGGGCTTTGCTTCCCCTTTCTGCGTTCTCAGACGCAGTGTTTCTATCACATGGAGACCTTCTATGTAAGACAGACATGGCTCCGTGGACTTGGGAATGTGGGGGCGTTGGGTGACCTTGGAGGGAGCCGTGTGAGCCGGACCGATCCGGTCCCTCCTGGAGAGGAGAGTGGGTGGGGGCTGGGGACGCTCTGCCCTAGGCCCTCTGCATGGCCACCCGGGGTGGTCCTCGGTCACTGGGTGGCTGTGTCCCCGCAGCACGGAAGCAGGAGGTCATCAAGATCACCGAGCAGCTCATCGAGGCGGTCAACAACGGGGACTTCGAGGCCTACGCGTGAGCGGGGCACCTGGGCTGGGTCCTGGGGGCCTGGAGCGGGCTGTGGGGGCTTCCCTGCGGTGAAGGGAGGGGCAGGTGGTGGCAGGGGCCTCTCCTCACCCGGGTCTGCCCCCCAGGAAAATCTGTGACCCAGGCCTGACCTCGTTCGAGCCTGAAGCGCTGGGCAACTTGGTCGAAGGGATGGATTTCCACAGATTCTACTTCGAGAACCGTGAGTGCCGGGGCCGGGTGTGGGGGCCGCCCCCGACAGCGGCGCGGGGCCCCCGGATCTCCAGGTGGCCTCCCTGCCCCCTTCCCTGGGCAGAGGCTCTCCAGGGCGCCCGGCAAGCCCCCGCCTCTGCCCACAGTGCTCGCCAAGAACAGCAAGCCCGTCCACACGACCATCCTGAACCCGCACGTGCACGTCATCGGGGAGGACGCCGCGTGCATCGCCTACATCCGCCTGACGCAGTACATCGACGGGCAGGGCCGGCCCCGCACCAGCCAGTCCGAGGAGACGCGCGTGTGGCACCGCCGCGACGGCAAGTGGCAGAACGTGCACTTCCACTGCTCGGGCGCGCCCGTGGCGCCGCTGCAGTGAAGGTGGGTGCCGGCTCGGGCCCTTTCCTGGGGTGCGCGGGGGATGCCGGGCAGAGCCGCCCCCGCACTGTAGGCAGGCCACGCCCATCCCTGCTCTCCCCCTTCTCCCCGGGGGTGCGGATGAGAGCGGATGCCCCGCCCACCCCTTCTCCCTGGGTGGGGACAGAGGAGAGCTGACCCCCCCCCCCGCCCTCCCCCTTGACCCCCACCCTCCCCACCTTTCAGAGCTGTGGCCGGCTTCGTGGGACAGACTCAGTGTTTGGAGCCCGGCCGCCCTCCCGCGGCCTGCCTGTCGCATGTTTGTGTCTGCCTCGTTCCTCCCCTGGTGCCTGTGTCTGCAGAAAACCAAGACTGGATGTGATTTCTTTTTAACAACAAGATGACAACAGCCACCAAAAAAAAAAAAAAAAAAAAAAAAAAAATTTTTTGGGTTGGATGAAAAAAGAGAAAAAAAGGCAAAAGCTGTACAAACCACTGGCATCTGTGGGGCCTTGAACCGCTGGGCACCCCCCACCCACGCTCCACGTGTCTGTCACTCCTGGCCCCTCGGGGAGCAGTGGGGCAGTGACCTTGTCCACAGGGGCCGGGCCGAGGATCGGTGTTTGTTAGGTCTGCATACCTCCCCCACCCCCACCCGCCGTGCATGGCTGCCGTCAGGAGTGTCGGCCACCTGGGGCCAAGGGGACCCGAGCACGGATGTTCCTCTCCCTTCCTCTCGTGCCCCCAGCATGGATGAGCAGTGCAGAGGCCAGGCCGGCCCCCGGGGGCCCGATGAGCCATCTGAGAAGCCCCTGTGGGCCCGGGGCTCCCACTCTGGTCCCTCCAGGGCCAGGGAGGTACCGACCTCCCAACTGGCAGTCTGGCCGAGAGGATGCTGTTGGTGGCAGCCCGGTTGGGAGGGGAACCCTTGGGTTCCCACAGCACCTCCCTCCTGTTTGGGGTGGCCCACCTCCCTCACCAGCCGGTGCGGCCACAGAGGGGCTCTGGGCTTGGTCCAGAGGCAGGAGGAGGAGAGGGGTCAGAAGGCGGTGCGTGGCACCCCGCGCTCCCAGGCCAGGGCGGGCGCGGCAGGGGTTTGTGAACAGTGCGCTTTTGGAGTCTAGGCTCGGAGCCGAGGGAGGGAGCGCTACCCTGGGCTTGAGGGGCAAGGTGCGGTGGACCCCCCAGTAGGCCTCTCCAGGCTGCCGTGTGTATGGGGGTGGCGGGGGTGACAGGGACCCCGGGATGAGAAGACAGGCTGGGCCCATCACAATGTGCACCTGCGAGCTGGTGGGCACCGGGGTCTGACGACAGCAGAGCACGCCCAGGGCAGCCGGCCAGGTGGGCTGGTCAGGGGCTGTGATCGTCGAGCTGCGGGCCCTGCCACTCCAACACCTGCCCCTTAATTCACATTTTCAACAAGGATTTTCTTTATCTTCCCCCACAAATCAAGCCACGGGAGGGGCACAGAGTGGGGAATGGGACACAGGACGCTGGTCTCCAAGGGAACTGTCCCTCAGCAGACACTCCGAATGGACACTCACCTGCCCGTCCACGGCTGTGCTCAGGACAGCTGTCCCCACCCACGGACACAGGGTAAACATCGGTCAGGCTCCCTGGGCCGCGGGCAGCGGCAGGGCTCACCGTGGACAGTGTGTGGCCTGGCCACCCTCACCTCCGGGGGCCTCCTCCCCTCCTCCCCTCACCTGTTATCTCCACGGAGCTGCCTGTCTGGGATAATTGGGGATTTTTCCGGGGGTAGTTCTTTTGCATGACCCCTCTCGGGCAGGCCACACCTGCTCTTCTAGCTAGATGTCGGAGGTGTGGCCGCTCTGCGGAGGGCCAGCTGCCCGCAGTGCTGGCCGGCCCCCCCTTCTCTCTTTTTGCTGAGTTCCATTGTCTTTTCTTTCTGAGCCTTGTAAGTGTAAAAAATCATTATTTTGTTCTGTCTCGGAAACTGCAAATAAAAGAAAAACAGGACAAACGGCTTAACGTGCAGCTGGGGGCTCTACGCTGGGGCCCCTCCAAGCCCCAGCCCAGCCCGCTTCCCCACTGCACCGCCCCTCTGCCACCGCAGGCCGCCGCCACACCCACCGCCGCCACACACCGCCGCACACCCCCTCTTTGGGCCCTGGACGCCCCGAAGCCCCTGCCTCTTCGGTGGCCTCTCAGGGGGAGGCCACATGGCGGTTCTGTGTGGGAAGAGCCAGGAACCAGCCTCCACCGTCTCTGTGCGTCCATTCCACATGCATGTGGCCGGGCTGTGCAGACCGTCGGCGCACGGGCCAGCACGGACGTCATGGTGCTGTGCAGCGCGGGAGGGTGGTGGCTGCTGGGATTCCCAGAGCAGAAATCTGGGGGATGGAGGAGAGCAAGAGCCTTCCTTCCCCTTCCCCGGGATCCAGTCCCTGCTCTTCCGGTCATCCACGCCCCTGGCCTGTCCCTCAGCAGCTGCCCACCACACCCCTGCAACATGGGGCCACCGCTGGCCTGTGCCGGCTGACTTAGCACTGAGCTCACGGCTGCAGGACCGCGTCACCCCAGGACTGCCTAAACGCACCTCCTCGTGACCACAGGGCTGTCTTGGCCGAAGGACCCCTGACCGCACAGCCGCCCGCAGCCCTCATGCGAAGACGGGCGGCCTCCCCTCCGCACTGGCTCCCCGGGCCCTGCCAGTGCTTGTCCGTGCCTCCGGCCTTGTGCTTTCCTACAGCACCGTGCGCCCCGACAGCGAACGCTCCCAACTCGTGTGTGTCGGTGGCTTCTGGTGCGAGGAGTGCCCCAGGGGTCACCAGGACAGGAGCTCTTGGCTACAGCTTCTTGGCGCCCCACTGGTGCGCTAGGGAGGGCGGGCTGTGCCAGGAGGCACAGAGGAGCCGGGAGCAGGCGCGGAGAATCTGGAGCGCGGCGCGCGAGCGGGCGGCGGCGCGGGGCCTGGCATGGTATCTAGGGCTCCGCTCGCCGGTCAGCTGTAATCCGAGGCGGCCATCCAGGCCAGGCCTCCCCGCGGGCACGCAGCACAGTCCTGCCCACCCCCACCCCCCACGGATCCTGAGCCCGGCCGGGGTGGGACCCGCACGCTGGCTGGGTGAGCGGTCACCGTGCCCGAGCCGGGCAGCGAGACCGACGGCGGCTTGCCCCTGTTAAACGGCACCAGCTTTGAGCGAAGCTCCCAAGACCCCATGCTCCAGCAGGTCCTCCAGGCAGGAAAAACCGGTGCCCTTGGTCCAGCCAGAAACCCCAAGCCTGCTTCACACTTCCACGGGCACAAATAAGGCTGAAAGCAAGGCCCGGGGCCAGCAGTGAAACAGGTGAAGCCTGCAGACCTCCTTATGACCCGTGGGCACGCTCGCTCCCTAAACTGGGGCAGGACTGGAGACTCCTCAGCTGCACGCAGACCCGGGAGGCATGCGATGCCCCGAAGCCCGCAGGGCCGCGCCCCTAGCTCCCAAGGAGTTTCCATCTGTGTGGCCCAGGCTGCTGCGGTGTAGTTCCCCATGCTGCTTCCCCTGCTCCAGCACTCCCTCCCCTGGCTCCTGCTAGAAAGGTCTGGGGATGGGACCCAGGCGCTGCCCCAGCATGCCCCGCACCCCGCAGCTGCACACAGGGAGGGGTCCCTGAGGCGCGAACAAAGCAGAAAACTATTACGGAATTTCAAAAGACAACTTTATCCAGATAAGAACCTTTCAAATAGAACAGAGAAGTCAGGCAACAGTTATTAAAACACACCCTTTGCCAAATGCTTCCACAGGAGACCACGACAGGAGCTGGGGAAATGCCAGCTCGGGCGTGAGCCTGCACCACCCTCCCCACGGCCCTCCCTGCAGACCCGCGCCTCCACGCCAGCTTCTCCCCAGCAGCCTCCCAAGTTGGAGGAGTCAGATACCGCGTCCTTCCTAAGGGGAGGTCACAGCCCCCTGGGCACCAGTGAGCAGGCTGGGTCTGTGCACCCCAGGGGGTACCTCAGGCGGGTTACCTTCAGGGCTGGCCAACTCCTTTGACCAGCACAGGGCCCAGAGAAGGACGATAACCAGTGGGTAAACCTGTTGGGGTGAGGGGTCGGGGTCCTCAGAAGCACGTAGACGTCACCTTACAGTCCAAACAAGGCAATTCCGGGCCTGGCACTTTGTGCAGAGGCAGTGGGACCTCGGGTAGGCCAAGAATCAGTATGTTCAGGGAAGGACCCCAGAGGACGGGATCCTGCGGGAACCAGGTCCCAGGGCAAACCGGAGCTCACTCTTCAGGAAGCATTGCAGGACGTGGGGAGGCAATCTAGAACATGGCAGTGGGGCCCGACGACACGGGCTCAGGGCTGGGACTTCTGTCAAGGGGGGGGGGGCGCCTCTTAGCAGTGCTCCTGTGGGGACCAGGCTGAGGGTCAGGCCACACATGGGGCACTGGGAATCCTCGGCATGGCCGGTCCCTGGCCTTGGTGGCTAAGAACAGTGGCCACAGCAAAGGCCACTTGCTAAGGCACGCGGCCCCAGGTGGTCACGATGACGGTCTCGCTGCCAGAGAGGTGGGTGAACAGGGTGGAGGGGCCGCACCGGTGCCTAGGACGTGGGCAGGCACCCCTGCCCCACCGCCACAGGCATCTCCGTGGGACGTGGGGGTGGCCGGCGCCCTCAGCGAGCGCCCGCCCAGGCCCAGTGCAAAGGAGCCTTGGAGTCGGTGCGGCCGGGCTCCTCCCAGCACAGATCTTGGCCTGCTCCGCCCCAGCCCTCGGGGCCTCTCTGCCCTTCAGCCCTGCAGCCGGGGTGACCCCAGCTTTACGGCAGCGTGAACACAGCGCACAAACACAGCCCCCACAAGGCTGGCTCTGACCTCCCCCAGGGTCTCGGCCTGGTCGCTTTCCCGGGTTAGAGACAAGCCCTGCAGCGTCTATGTGAGTCATTCGAATTTATGGTTTCATCTGGCCCACGAACACGCCATCAGGGGCCTCCAATGAGCTTTTCAAAAATCACCGGACATGTAAATTTGAATGTTCCCAAGCCCCAGGCCCTTCCACGACCCCTCAGTTCCTGCCAGGAGCTCCCAAGTGAAAATGTGTCCCCACGCGGGTCTCTCCACGGTGGCTCTGCTTCTCCAGGGACTGCGGTTCTGATGCGAACGGCCAGGGCGGCTCGGCACGGGGGCCTCCGCGGGCTGCCGTCACATGATCGCACAGCACGAGTTCTGTTTCCGAGCCTGGACAGAAACACACTGGGGCTGGAGAGGTGACACGACCCCAGGAGGCAGGGGCCACGGAGTGGGCTGGGGGGACTGGGAGAACCCCCAGCAGACGGAGCATCTGACTCTGCGTCACCCCGGGTCCTGCAGCACCACCTGCCCCCGCGCGTGTCGCGAGAATGCTTTGAGAGAGCAGGTCGGTGGATCCCCGAGCCCCACTGGCCGCTTCCCTCCCAGGCTCCCAGGAAAGCACCGGTGCACGCACAGCCCTACTGTGGTCCGCGCCAGCGAACCACTTCTGTCCCAGGGAAACAGGCACAAGGGCCGCTGTGGGAGGCCGGGAAGCCCCACTGCTCAGCAGGCAGCAGGAGCGGCGGGGACAGGCCTCTGCCCGCGCCCGGCCCCCCCAACCCTGTGCCATGGAGCATCCCGGGGGGCGCGACAGCAAGCACGGCACGGCCAGCACTCACTGTCTTGTAGAAGGCTTTGGACTGCGTTCCCAGCACCTCGGACTTGGACACCAAGTCGTCCAGCCGCTCCCCTCGCTCCAGCAGAGACTCCATGGTGTTGTGCTGGACACAGACAAGCGGGCACCCCACCGTTGGCGCAGCAGGCGGACGTGAGCCCCCCAGGCTCGGCCATGGGAAGTGCTTCTCCCACGGGCTCCTCCCGCCACGTGAGCGTCAGGAGCGTCCCCGACGAGCAGGACCCAGGGCCCGTCCCGGGGACCCAGCACAGGCTCAGAGCACTGTGCTCACGGCCACGTTTCCACACATGGACTCCCGCTGAACACGCTGACCCCCGCTCCCCGAGGGGCCCGTGCACGGCGCGCGTCGTGCAACACCTCGAGGCCACCGGGCTTCCTCGGAACAAGGAGCGCAAACCTAGGCACGCGGACAGGAACGGGCCCGGGAGGAAGGCACAAAACCAGCCCCGTCTACACAGAGTTCCAGGACGCGGGCTGCTGGCACAAGAAGCGAACCAGACGGACACGCGCACGGACAGGGCAGCACCAGCAAGCCCGTTTCTGCGGACACACGGGGCCACCGTGCCACACCTGCTGTCCCTGCTCGGAGAGCAGGAGCAGCCAAGGGGCGCCCAGGGCCGCGGCTCAGCGAGGACTCAGAGAAGCCCGTGAAGAGACACGGAGACACCTCAACATGCTCACACCTCACTCCCCACCTGAAGTCCCCAAACCGCATCATTCAGCGCAAGGTGTCACCTTCCCGGGTCCCGCCCAGGCCGGCGTCTGACCCCAGGGGGCAGCACTGAGCACGTCGTGGGGCCGGAGCCCGCAGCAGTTCCCAGAAGCCTCTGCTGGGCTTCAGTTCTACTCACTCGAGGCTCGCTGGGGCCTGGGCACGGGTGTCCCACATGCCGGGAGCAGGGTGGGTAAGGACAAGCACCCAGTCCTGAGGGCTCACACGCCCGTCAGGGAGACGTGTGCGCCAGTCATGACCACACAGTGGCATCCGGGAGGGCTGCATGTGGGGCCCCGGCATGGGCACCGTGCAGGAAAGAGAGAGGCCCCAAGGCCGTGGGGCTGTGCCAGGGAGTGTGCACCTGACTCCAGAGCTTTCCTGAGGGCTACTGGGGGATGGTAAACGGAAGAGCCACAGATCAGTGGCTACTGTCCAGACACGCTGGTGCCAGGTGGGAAGCCAGGGACCAGTGATGAGGCAGGGGCCACAGGACCAAACTCAAGGCGAGAACAGACACAGCGAGAGCCAAAGAGATCTCGAGGTTCCAGGGGCAAGGGAGGGAAGGAAGAAACTGACAGAAGAGGAGAAGGAAACAGAGAGAAAGACGGAGAGAGAGAAGAAGAGGACAGACAAGGAGAGGAGAGAGAGAAGGGAGATGGAGAGAAAAAGGGAGGAGGACAGACATGGAGAGAAGAGAGAGGGAAACAGAGAGAGGGAGAGATGGGGGGGGAGACGGAGAGAGAAGGGGAGACAGAGAGAGGGGAGATAGAGAAGGGGAGACAGAGGGGGAGAAGGGGGGAGAAGGGGAGAGAGGGATAGACAGAGAGGGGGAGGAGGGGGGAGGAGAAGGGGAGATGGAGAAAGGGAAAGACGGAGGAGGGAAGAAGGTGGGAGATGGAGGGGGGGTAGGTGGAGAGAGGGGGAGAGAGGGGGGGGGGGGGGGAGGGGGGAGCAGGAGAGAAGGAGCCGGAGGGAGAGGGGAGAAGCAGCAGCAGCAGCTGTAGCTGAGCAGAGCACAGGCAAGACGCGGGCTTCCTGCCCTTCTGACCAGGCCTGAGGACCCCAGGTCTGTGTTTAGTGAACACAGGCGGCTTTTCCTGCCCCCACAGCCCCCACCCTGCAAGGAGGCGCCTGCTGGGCTTGGAGACAAATGGCGGGGGGCGGCAGTGGCAGGGAGGCGCTGAACGGAGACCGTCGCGTGGCAGGGAGGCATCGGGGCCACGGCAGGTCTCCGATGGGGTCCTCGTACAACAGCGGCGTTGAACCCAGATGGGTGCAGGCAGCACAGACTCAGGGTTGCCTGAGACACTCAGGGAGAGGCAGGCAACCACCCCTTCCAGCAAAGCACCTGCATGAGGACGCCCCCAAAGCCCCAAACACAAGCCTGGACCGCGCACCGGGCGGCTCCCCACACCCGGCTCCAGGGGCGCTCGCCCCGCCCCCACTCACCAGAATGATCTTGGTCTCATCCAGCTCGGCCTGCACTTTAGTCATGGGGTCGGCTTCTCGCGGGTTCTAGGGAAGAGCCAAAAACATCAGGAGTAGAATGACTACATGGAAACAAAGCTCAAATCGGGGAGCCAGCCAGCTTGCCAAGTTCACAAACCGCAGACTGCGCACGCACACCCCAGAGAAGGGAAAGCCCGCGTGAGCTCGGGGTCCAGGTCTCAGAGCGGGTCCCTGTGTGTTTCATGGGGACGCCGACACCAAGGCTGCTGGGAGATCGCCCAGAGCCACAACCTGCAGGCCCGCTCCTGGAGGCTTCTGCCCACCTACCTGGTACCGACTCAGGTGGTTGTCCAGGGCCGTGTACTGGATGCTGGCAGGGGACCCGACGGGCCACTCTATCCTGTCCACGTGCTTGGAGAATTCGTCCAGTACCTGCACGACAAAGGAGCCCATCCCAGAGCCACATGGACCTGAACAGAGAGCCCGAGAGAGGAGGAGCACAGCTCATGGCCAAGGGCAAATCTAGGCTCAAGGTTTGAAGATTTCTGACAATTAGAAACAAAGTGTACCCACCCTCACCCCGATCTCATCTGGAAGAAGACAAGAGCTCGGAATATTAACTTATAGGCTTTCCCTTCTAGCGGGTTCCGCAGTCTTAAGAGGAAAAGTCCCTGCCCTGTCATCTTCCCGAACAGCTCTTTGAACAGGGAGCTGGATCCCTTGGACCAAAGCACTCAGCACATCTCATGTGCTGGTGAATGTATCGGTGCTCAGGGAGGCCGGAGGCCAGCGGCCAGCATCCTCGAGATATTTCTGACGAGCACCACAGCGCTGGGCCCCATGGCGGTGCGACACCCACGTGGGGGAAAGGAGCAGCCCGGGGTGGTCACAGGACAGAGTGCAGAGTCAGCCGTGGCTGGGAGGAAACACAGTCGCCAGCGGGGAAGGCAGCAGCCCTTAGAGCGGCCAGAGCAGAGGCCACGGCTGATAGTGCAGCCGCAGCTGACCTCAGGCCCCAGCCCAGACACTGGCAGAAACCAGCTCCAGAAAAGGCAACTGGGAAGGGATGCCGGGCCGTCTCTCAGTTTAGAGCAAGAAGAAACACTGAAAACGGGTTGATTCTGGACACATAACTCAGTCCCTTCTGCCTCGGGCACCGTCCACCGTTGCCCGTCCCAGGCCAGCCCGGCCACAGCGCAAACTCACCTTCTCCAGCAAGGTAAAGGCCACCCGGGATGGATACTCGCTGTCAGCGATGACCACTCCTGCGAGACTGTCGTTTCGCACGTAGACGTGGCACAGGTATTCTAAGGAGAAGTTAGACGTGCGCAGGGTGGCGTGAGGACTCTGGACACCTTCAGCCATCATGGAAGTGTCACAATGCTGAGCCCTTGCCTGGTGGCTCCGTCAGACGCACACAGAACAGCAAGGAGGGGGCACGGGCACCGGCGCGGCCCGACGCCACCTCCGTACAAGTAGGCGCCCAGAGGCCTGGCGGGCCAACAGGCTCTAAAGGAGCCACCGCGGGTGCAGAGAGCAACCGAGGGCAGGCGGTCCCAGCTGCCTCTCCATTACATTCCGGAGCCCCAGCGCTGGCCCGCTCGAAGATGCTCTGGCCTGGCCCCGGGCTGGAGAACCTGGGTAAGACCAGCAGCCTCCAGCTGCTTAGAAGTCCCCAGAGCAGCCCCACGTCAGGAAATCAGCTCTCGGGGCATCAGGTTTGCTCCTGTGACGGGCTAGAGGGGGAAGCGGGGGAGAGGAAACGCCAGAGGAGGGGATAAAAGGTCCATCTACAAAAAACCTGGCCCTGCCGGCCTGAGATCATCATCAAATTACCCGAAGGTTCCGTCTGTACAAGCACTCTGGGACGCAGGTCCCATCCCTGGTATGAATTTTTCTCACTTTCAAAACTCTTCAGACGGGACACAGCTGGCTACACCCCAGGGGAAGAGGAACGTAAGGGTCACAGCTGACAAAGGAGGACCTCCCCGTCCTGACGACGCTCGCACAGGGCAGCCTGCCAACCGTGGACAACAGAGAGGAGAGGGAGAGGCCGTGAGCGCTGCAGTCGGAGGAGGGCAGCGGAGCGTGAGGGCAGGGCCGCGGAGGACAAGACTGGCACCACCGCGGTCTGGGCCCTGCCTGCATCTCCAGTAAGCAAGGGGCCAGCGTGCGGTGGGAGCGCACGCCCCAGACCGGAGCGGCCGGATCCATGCTGGAGGACACGGCTCTCAGCCAGCCGCCCGGACTGACCCACTACATGTCCGTGCTCACGGTCCCATCTCCTGGGCAGGACAGGGAGGCTGCGCAGAGCACGCACAGGGCACCCCCACTCCCCCTGGGGCGTAACAGACATCTCATCACGGACACGTGGCCTCCAGGGCCGTGGCCCCAGTCCCCGCAGAGTGCGCTTCCCACGATCTACGTGATACAGCTGTCCTTCCTCAGTGGGCCGGGTTACACACGCTTCTCCAAGAAAAGCCTCACAATTCTTACAGAAAACCTGAACTATGAAGACGTGAACTACAGCCAAGAGGAAAACAACGAGTTTCTGGACTCCTGGTCCAAAACTTGGGGAGCACAGGACGCACTCCCAGCGCGACGGAGGGGAAGCCTTGTTGGCAAAGTGCCCGCCACAGGCGGAAGGAGAAGCACGCGGGGCGGCCGCTGACAGCTCCGCGGGAGCGAGCGCGAGCCGAAGCAGGAGGCTGGAGAGGAGCGCGGTCCTGGCAGCCCAGGCGTGGGGTGTGCCTGGGAGGGGGCCCCGGGCTGCCCGAGGCGGGGAGGGACAGGCGCCGCGCAGGCACGAGGCAGCGGGTCCTCTTACCTTGCTCTTTGACAGACGCTCTGCTGCCCTTTGCCGAGCGCTCCACGATCAGCTGACTTGTGAAGGTCATGAACTCCTGGACGCTGAGGAACGGAACACACATTACCTCTTCCCGTCCCCGTCCCCAGCAGCATGGAAGGTGACCTCTGAGCACAGACACCAAGGGGCCACGGCTTCTGGGTCTCATTCCTTTCCCTCCCGACCTCAGGGACTAACAAGAGACGCCGTTTAGCCACAAACCCCCGCAGCTCTGCAAGCCGCACCGTCTGCGACCTCGCCGACCGGGACCACCCGCTTCGAGCCTCGTGGGGATTCCCACGGGCTTTACTCGAGGTAGCGCTGTGGCCAGAGCATGGAGAAGCAGAAGCCAGCGCACACCCAGGGACGGCCCCGCGACACCGCGCTGGGACACGTGTCCACGTGAGAGCACGCACAGCACGGAGCATGGCCGCGGCCACGCGGGGTCATCCCGGCACCCCATCCCCGGGACGCTGAGAGGCCACCGCTCGGCCAAGGACGAAGAGGAAGTGATTTGTGCAAAGGCTGAGAAGAGGACACTCATGGACCCAGCAGAGACGCCCGGAATGGAAGGGCCACAGGTGAGGACAGCTCGACTGGAGGAACAGGGGCTCTCCAGACTCTGTGGCAGCCCCCCTCGCTGCAGAGAGGAGACCTCCAGCCGCGCAGTGTCCGAGGGGCCGGGAGCTGTGGGACCCGCAAGCCCTGCCCCACGCCCCCACTCACAAAACCCAGGTTCGCGGCGAGGGGCGCACGGCACTTAGCACAACAGCCGGGGCCCAGCGTCACCCTGAGAGCGTCATGTGCTCAAACTCACCCCACGGAGAGAGCCTCCAGGTGAGGTAGGCCCAAGAGTACAGCCGAGCGGAGGCGCGCCCAGACACGGGGGCTTGCGTCTGCGGCAGGAGCTCGCAAACAGCGGCGAGAAAAGCTGGGGGGACCCATCTGCAGGTTTGGAGCCCAGGGTCCGGCCGGAAGAATGGAGGCGAGAAGCCAGGACCGCTGTGGCGGTAAGGGGCGCCAGCGGGGGCACGGCCGGGTTCCGAGTGCGCCCGCCGTCTGGAGCGGGCAGGGGCATTCCGGAGCGGTGAGGCGAAGGTCTCTGGCTGCCTCTGCCGAGCACCTTCCGACACGCGGACAGCCCAGAGTAAGAGCAGCCAGAACGGAGCAGAGGGCGTGGGAGAGAAAGCGGCGCATCCGCGAAAGACCTCCTGAAGCTCGCGAAGAACCAACCGCTTCCACGGAACAACAGAAACGGGTTTCCCCCGGCCAGCACAACACTGATCAAGCACTGCTGCCCAGGGGCGCCTGGGGGACCCCGTGGGGGACGCGTCTGCCTTCGGCGCAGGTCATGACCCCGGGGAACTGGGAGGGAGCCGCGCGTCGGGCCCCCCGCATTCCCCTCTCCGACAAAAGGAACAAGAGAACTGCTGCCCAGAAGCAGTGAGGACGGAGCCGGAGGGCAGCGTCCCGGACTCAGACCTGCGGGGACCCCCGCCCCCGGGCGCGCCCAGCCGCCCCGCCCCTCCCAGCAGCAGGCCCACAGCCCGCGGCCGTCCTCACACACAGCTTCCCGCAAGCCCGCAGATCCCGCGCCTGCAAACCTGCAGCGCGCGGCCCTCGCTCCGCCAGACTCAACCGGGAAAAGCACGGGAGTCGGGGTTTGCATCCGGGCCCGCTGTGGTACAGTTTCTCGTGGCCGCACGACTTCCCCCATAAACCCGGGCGCGCCAGCGCCTCCGACCCAGCTGCGGGGAAAACCCCATCGGAGGACATAAAGTGGCCTGCGGACGCCGGGGTCAGAATCTCGGGGAAGAAGGCGCAGGGTGACAACACACGCTCCCGGGCCGCCACCTGCCAGCTCACCAGGGCCGCGGGCGGACCTGGGCGGTCCGCGCTTCCCTCCAAGCCCCCGGGGTGGTACGACGGGAACGGAGGAGACACCGGGCACGAAAACGCCGTCCAGAGCAGCGTAAGCCTTCCTCGGGCCAAAGGACGAGGGTTCCCCGCGGGTCCGCTCCGCACACCGAGCAGGGAGCCAGCGCAGCGCTCCAGGACTGGAGGGCGAACCCCCCCCCCCCCCCCGCCGCAGTCCACGCCGGGCCTCCCCTGACCACCCCGACGCTCCCCCGCCCCCCGGGGCCACCCCCGGCCCCCGGGGCCCGCCCCCACCCCGCGGGCCTCCCACGAGCCCCCGGGCCTCGCCGCCCGGGCCCACCCACCTGGACCTCTGGAAGAAGCTGAAAGAGGACACGTCGTACGCGGCTTTGAGCAGCACCACCTTGTGCTCTCCTTTGTACAGGACGCTGAGGCTGTACAGCTTCATGGTGCCGCGCCCTCGGGCCGCCCGCCCGCGGGACCGCCTAGCAGGGAGCAGCGCAGCCGCCGCCCCTGGCGACCACCGCAGGCTGCTGACGGGTCGGACGCCGGCTTCCCCGCCTGGCTCGAGGCCGACTTCCGGTTCCGGTCGAGGCACCGCCCAAGAGCCAACAGAGGGTTTTCTTGTGCCCCGGATGCAGAAAGGAGCGGCCGGAAACACGACGGCGCGGGCTGGGAAGGGGCGGGGAAAAGACGCCGCGGCGCAGGTGCGTGTGCGTAAGCCCGGCCCCGCCCCCCTGCCCTAGGCTGGGGGCCTCTTCTCCCTCCTGTGGCTCGCGGTCGTCCCCACCAGGACCTGCCCCCTCCCCCTGGGGTCCCCATCAGGACCTACCCCCTCCCCCGTGCAGTCCCCACCCAGGCCGCCCCCTCCCTCTTGGAGGGTCCCGAGTCCTCCCATCCTCACCCTCCCCCCTCCCTCCGGGACTGCGCAGAGCCGTCCCGGGCGGGCAGCTCCCGGGAACACGCAGAGCCGCACCGCAGGCCGGCGCTCGGGGAGCCCTCGGAGGGCTGAGTTACGGGGCCGGCCTGTCCTTCGTGAGTTCCCCACAGCGAAGCGCAGGGACGCCCCTCTGCAGGCTCTTGCAGGGACGTGAAGGCCGCTCGCCCTCGCCGGCTCTCCCCCCTGCCCCGGTGGGGGCCGTCCCTGTGCACCCAGGACCCCTGGGCCCGGCCTGCGGGGGCTTCCCGGGCCGGCCACTGCCCGTGCGGGCACGGACGGAGGCGGCTGCGGCACGAGCGCGGCAGCACCGATGGCGGAGGGTCCGCGCCGCGCTCCGGGAGCCGCCTGGTGCGCGGGGACTTGAAGAGGCCTCATTCGCCCGGAGACGTTGAAATAACCCGTTGCCGATGGCCGGGGACGAACGGGGCACGTCCCGTAAGAGTTTTACGTCCTGCCCACTTTGTGTTTATTGAACGGTGTTCCGGAATGGGCGTCTCACCGGCGACACCGAGGGACCTCGGCCCTCGGAACTGCAGAGGCTTGCACAACCTCCCCGCTGGAAGCAGGCAGATCGGAGCCGGGAGCGGGGGAGGGCCGGCGCCTGCGGAGAGCCACGGCACCACCCCACACAGCACTGTCAGGGGTCATGTTCGGTGGGATGATGGGGGCTGGTACCCGATTGTTAGGGGCCATCCCACGAAGGGTAAGGAGCGCCTCAGACCTCATACCCTCTAGATGCCGGGAGCACCCCATTCCCCATCCGGCTACCAAGAACGTCTCCAGACATGGGCAAACGTGCCCGTAGGAGCAGGGGTTTGGAGAAAAATGTTTCCATGTCTGAAGGAAGGTCCCCCCGCCTGCCCCTCACCAGCCCTCTTCCGGGGTATTTTCAAGTGCCAAGCGTGGAGAGGACTTTTCCACATTCCCCCTGTTTGGGTGCAAAACATAAAGCACAGACACCGGCCACCGCCAGGCCAGTCGCCCACAGACACAGGCTCACCAGCACCAGCAGGCCAGACGGGTCCCAAGATGCTGTGTGGACACTGCTGTCCTATAGGGGGTAGGCGGCAGCCGTTGCTGGAGAAAATCCCAGAGCCCCTTTTCTCCTTTGCCACTGAACATTGTTCAAAGGGACAAGGAGGACAGTTCTTGCTCAGAATAGATTTAAATGTGTTCACTTGTCGGGACGCCTGGGGGGCTCAGTGGGTTAAGCCTCTGCCTTCGGCTCAGGTCATGGTCTCAGGGTGCTGGGCTCGAGCCCCGCATCGGGCTCTCTGCTCAGTGGGGAGCCTGCTTCCCCCTGTCTCTGCCTGCCTTTCTGCCTGCTTGTGATCTCTGTCTGTCAAATAAGTAAAATCTTAAAAAAAGAATGTGTTCATTTGTCACGTACTAATGGATACCTTACCATTGGCCTTACCCCAAGCACTCCCCATATGCTACTTCGTTCCGCCCTCATAGAAGAGAGGAGGACTGTATCATCATCTCAGAGACACAGAAATAGGTTCAGGTCAAGGACATTGCGAGTCCACACCACAACATGTAACACAGCACAGCTCCACTCCCAGAGGCTCTCCCATCCTCTCTGGCCTGGGCCCGCCTCTCCCCCGCCCCCCGGCCTTGGTCTATGGAGTTGCAAACTCCCCAGCCTTGTTGTCCCTCTTTCTGACAAGTAAGCCCACCTCCGACTCTACCACCCAGCCATCACCCAGCTCGGATGTAGCCCCAGCCCCGCTGCAAGCCCCCAGAAGGTGAGCAAAGCACTACCCTCTCTCTCTTTCACCTGCAAAACTGGAAACAACCTGTTCCCTCGGTGTGTTGCTGGAATGGTAAGAAACTATATTCCAAACACTAGTCTTAGTAGATGTTTAGCAAGTAAAAACCATGATTCCCTGCACTGGTATCATTTAGGACAAAGAGGCGAGATCATCGCAGGTTGAAGGCACCGGGCATCCTGCAGGGAGCAGAGATCAGACAGGCTGAGTGAGGTCTGCAGAGTGGAAAATACTATCGTCTGTCCTGTAATTTCCTGGCTTTGATCACTGTGTTGTGATTATGAAAGAGAATTCTTGGTTTCTGGGAAATCCACACGAGCAGTTAGGGGTGAAGGGACATCCTGTTTTTCACCTCGCCTTTGCAGGATTCAGACGTGGGTATGATGTAATGCAAAGCGTAGCGCGCACACGATTAATTGAAGGAGTCGGGACGCAGGTATCCAGGAATGGCTCGTACTGCTCTGTAAGACTTAAAAGAGGTGGGTATGGGAAAGACCGCAGGCAGGAGGCACTAATGTTATGCGTGCGGCACCCGTGGGACTGGGGGTGGCCAAGCTCTCTGAAGTCCAGATTCTCCCTCGTGCACCAGGTCCTAGAGGAAGAGCTCCCTTGCAAGCTGACCCTGAGCCATGCGGTCACATCACAACACGTGGCCCAGCTCTGTGAGTTCACCCCTGCCGGGCAGGCAGGTGCCCACCCACCTTCAAGGCCTTGCTCAGCTCAGAAAGGGACCTGTTTTGAGCTGCACAGCAGAACCCCCACAGAGCTGGCAAAAAGCAGCTGAGGGGCATGCCAGGGTTCCTGGGGGAACCTGGCCATGCCATAGCCTTGGCCTCCCTACCCCCTAGTCCAGTCAGCCAAGGCCAGGGCGGCAGGGCTGTTTTCACTGTGATTGTTACGTGGACCTCAGCAGCCTACCCAGGTCAGGAGCCCTACCAGGGACCACAGACGTGATCAGGCCTCCCAAGGAGCCCCACGGCTTTCCCTCCTACATGTGCCGATTAGACATACCGACTGCTTTGAGCCAGTGGCACCCAACAGACAGCAGAGGCGAGAAGCCCGCTCTGACCCTCCTTTTTTCCCTTCAAAAAAGCACATCAAACCCTCACATGAAAGGCGAGCTCTGGGTAGCAGGAGGAAGACGTTCTTGCCACCAGAGATGAATGAGGCTGAGAGAAATCCTTGCAAACAACTCCATCCTGCAATGACTCCCAGCAACGTCCTCTCCCTGCCCCAACTCTCTGTCATATCGGCTCTTCACTGTTTCTTTGTCACCAGAGTGCTTGCCATGGTTCCTGCTCTGGTCACGTCTCTGGGTCTTCATTCTCTTGTGAAGGCTCCCGTGCACCTGTAAAAGCTTGAGTAAAACTTGCATGCTTCTCTCCTGCTGACGGCAGCTTGTTTCTTAGGCACAGGTGGGGACCCGAAGAGGGCAGAGAATGTGTCCTCCTGGTCACCTTCTTAGTATTTCCCCAGCCGAAGGAGCACAGATTCGATGCTAGAAGCCAGCCATGGCCCCCAGGAGCGCTGCTCACTACCACAACCCTCCCCGCAGATTCCCCAGGCCACCACCAGCCTGGACAGAATAGTTGGCACGTGACCCGAGGCTCAGCCAATCCACGCAGCCCGCGCGGTGGCCGTCCAATCCGAGCAGAGCGGAGGACGCGGTGGCGTTCGCGTCCGGAGAAGCGCCGCGAATAGGAGGTGTCGGAGAAGGAGAGGAGGGGCATACTACAAGAAGGTTCACTTGGAGGCCGGCACTGGCCAGGAAGGGACCACAGCCAGGGAAGACCAGAGGCATGTGAGTCAGCTGGGAAAGACCCCTCAGAACTGCCTCCCTTTTAGGGGCTCCTCAGAAGCTCTAGTTGTACCCTGAGACCCCTCCCCAGCTCAGGCACTAGGGATGGATGTGTAGCCCAGGCTGGACATGTGGTCATGTCCAAACGTCATGTCTAAAGGCTGGGGCCTTGACGTTCCGAGGGGCTGCCCTGCACAGGAAGGAGGAGAAAGTCTGCAGAGAAGGAAGGGGACCAAGGGGTAGGGAGAGCCCTGCAAGGCCAGAATCTGGGCCCCACAGCAGCTGGTCTCCAGGACTCCCAGTAATAAGAAGTAGGATGGGAGTTACCACAAAGGAGAAGTGGTCAGGAAGGATCTGAAAAGCAGAGGGGCTAAGCTCCCCCTTCCTTGAGCTCCATAAGCTCCAACACATGCCGCCAGGGGCCCCCCTGAGGCTCTCTCCCGCCCCCCACCCCCCTGTGAACCCCGCCCTCTAGCCACCCCCTGCCCCTCCGAAACACCCTTCCATTTAGCCCTCCGGAGACCCCATGTGAGTCCCTTGGTGAACCCCAGCACTTTCTTCTGGGTCTCCCTCCAAGCCTGCTCCCCAATCTCCCAGCCCCCTTGCGCCTCACTGTTAAAACCTCGCCTAATCCTCCTTCCCAGCCAGCTCTCCTCCCCAGCTGGGCCTAAAGTGCCCCCACCGCAGAGGGCTCCCTGGCCTTCCCCGTCCCCTTGAGCACCCCTCTGAGTGCCCCCACCCTCCCCCACACTGATCACCCCCTCCTCCTCAGCCCCCCTCTGAGCGCCCCCGCCCTCCCCCTCCGCTGAGCACCTCCTCCCCCGAACCCCCCACTGGGTGCCCCAGCCCTCCCCGACGCTGGTCACCCCCTCCCCTGTGCCCCCTCGCCGAGGCCCTAGCCCGCCGCTAGCACGTGGGCCGTGCTAGCTGACGGCAGCTAGCACGGCTGAGATCTCAGCAATTGGTTTCCAGGTTGGCACGTGACCCGAGGCTCAGCCAATCCACGCAGCCCGCGCGGTGGCCGTCCAATCCGAGCAGAGCGGAGGACGCGGTGGCGTTCGCGTCCGGAGAAGCGCCGCGGTCCGCCGGAAGTCCAGGGCGGACG